CAGAAAAGAAAATGTCTCTCTGACAATAAATCAGTTGTCGTGCAAAATATATCAAAAACAGCTAAAGAATAAAACCCAGTTTTTAGAATGGGATGTGAAATGGTCCGAACAAAATATGTAACTTAGTTATTTGCAACAAGGTCAAGGTCATCTTTATTGTCAAATATGCTTTATTTGACAAATAATTCATAATTCACAAAAATAAAACCATGTGAGGACGTACTACAGATCAGGTCCAATGTCTTATTGTCTTATAATGCCTTATTTATTGAGTTTACTAAGATTGCAGCAAAACATAAACTGTCTTGACAAAAAAAAAAAAAAAAAGTTTCCATATCGACACCAAGCATGCCATGTGGACGTAAGGCAACCAACCATGACACCTACTCCTTTCAATCACATAACGTTAGTATAGTGCCACAATTTCTTAAAATGTTGCACATTTTGGGTGAACCCTCAAAGAGACAGACACACAACAGGAAGGTTGGAGAGGACAAATGACAGGTGGCTCAGAGATGACCTCATCCAGTGTGACATCGCTCACTGCCTTCTTCAATGTTTACAGTGCATCTGAACTAAACACTGTGAAGAAAGTATGTTCTAAATCTGCGGTTGTGATGACACAACAGTGTCATAAAGCTGGCAGGGCCCTCGTTTCCAGAGAATATTACAGAGAGAGACATGACCTTGTCTGACTGAACACATGCAAGCACACACATATGCATGCACACACAAACCAACATTTGGTTTTTCCTCAAAACTGAAAGAAAAAAAAAAGTCCTGAAAATACCTCTCACAATTTCCAAATTAGCACACTTTCCCTTATTTACTGCTATCCACCCTTTGTTTAGCTTGAACGCTTAAAAGTCAGCTTCAGTCACTTTTTTTCACATCAGTGCATCTGACGCTCCAGCCTCCTTCCTTCCTCTCAAGTGGGACAGGCAGGAAACTTTAAAGACACAGGGGTTGGCATGACATTCTGTGTTGCCATGATAAGAACAAACACAAGAAGTGGCTTGTTCTATCCTGGTTCATTTCGACCTTGGTAACTAAAGGGAAATTAAGACGTGCAGTAGCTTTCGTTGGGTTTTTATTGCAAGTAGAGTTGAGTAACAGACAACCGCTCTGTTCACTTGTTCCGCTGCCTCCTTCCATTTATCTCATCTTACATATTGTCCGCCACATAGCATAAATGCCGAAGTGCGTTTTCGAGAAAAAAATAATTGTCTTCCAAAAACATTGAAAATTTGCATTTTTTGAAAACCTACTAATTTCTGCTGGACAGCAGAAGAATTTTGACATTGCGCATGATGATGACCTGAAGAATAAAACGAAACAATGAATTGCCTCACCAAAATATTTAAAAGTTTGACCTGTCCAGCCAGAAACCAGGCCAAAATCTAAGGCGTAACCAGAGGACTATGACTTCAAAAAAAGATCCTTGGGAGAGCTTTTTCAAAGAAAGATGGGGAAATATTTCCATTGTAAATCATTCCGATATAAATCACTCCTACCACAAATGACAGAATTTTGTAATTGAAGGAAAATATGCTTCAATGCTGTCAATTACCAGTCAGTTTCACTGCTCCAGCCATAATATAATAAATAATTTTTCATGCGATGTCCCAATGTCGCCAGCTATGGGACAGATGTTGTACTGTGACATCCTCAAGAAGGCAAAGTGATGGGAGGGAGATCGTTATTACTTTGGATGTACCAGGTTTGTTGAAAATGGTAGAAATGGGTGAATTTCGAATTTTTAACAAACATATTGGCTTAAAATCAAGTAAAGCATAGCACATAGGCTGTCAAACTACTCCCTCTCAATCTGACACACAACTTGAAGTGGTGTTCATGGAGTTGTAGTTCACGGACGAGTCTCTACTCCCTGAGATTCGGCTTTGCTTTTAGGATCTCATGGAGCCAAATCCATTTTTCGCTGCTGTTTGTCTCCTCCTCCTCATTATTATAAGAAAAGCCAGGGCATGCCATTGAAATACTGACAAATGCATATGGCCGAGCTGCGGTCTACTTTATGTCCAAACCAGCGATAAAAGGTACGAGACTGGAAAAATGCATACTTTGGTCACAAATGCCAGATACTGGCCCGCTTGCACTATGCTGCTGTCCTGCCTGCATCATTCGATCCCTGCCCTGAGGTGGGTACTGCACAAACTAAGTACAGTGTGAACACACCTGATGTCTTCTCACAGGTCAGTTGTGGTACAACACCAAACTCTGGGTTAGGTCATATTCAAGTTTTGCAATTATTTCATCATTGGGTTTTTCAGCATGTGAAATTTGACTTACACCAAGAAGGAAACAGTTTTCAAAGCAGCAATTTATGACAACAGGAAGTTGGTCACAAGAGCAGTGATCTTCTGGTTCACTGTAAACTTCCACATGGACATGCAGGCATTTCGTCAGTACTGTATTGGTGAGACTCATCAGATGCACAATGAAAAGCCATCAGAGGAAACACATGCTTTCCACGTGCTATCAAAGTCAGCATGACTACCTCCAGAATGCTCCATTTTTTCCTGTTGTGGTTGTCTTGCTTCAAGTGGTGTCAACAGACGCCGATGAGACAGGGGCACCCAGGCCTCAAAAACGCAAAAATGATGAACAATGAATGACAGGCGACCTCATGATGACAATTGACGGAGAGAAAATGGTGTTGTCATGTTGTTTGTAATCTGCATGCAAGTGCAGGAGAGCAATTATCCTACGTTTCTAATTTTAGACTTGAGTCGAGACCTGATAGACAATTCAGAATGCACACAATGGGGGCCGTCCGTCACTCAAGTGTGTGGCTGCACATTTCAACTCTGTATGTGCATGCGTGAATCTGGGCACTATAAAAGCTAATGCATGGCAGTTAGTGCGATTCAGCATCGCAGTGTGGTCGAACACATTATCGTGATTTGTCAAATGACTTCTGAGAAATAGAGACATATAAATAAGAAATAAATGAATGTGCTTATGCACTTGTCAGTATGAGTTTGTATCCACCATGTTTTGAGGACATACCGGTAGTTATATTTCTACATCCCCGTCAAGACAACTATATATATTCTGTCAAACACACACACACACACACACACACACAGTGGCCACTTCCGTCTGAGAACATCCTGTTTGAAGCATCACAATGGCAAGGTACTGTGGAACCATTGTTAGGTGTCGTGGGTATTCCGTTTTCATCTCACATTCCAAAAATGTGCACCATAAATCAATTGTATACTCCAAAATTGTCCCTTGGTGTGAGTGTGAGTGTGAATGATTGTGTGCCTTGCGACTGACTGGCAACCAGTTCAGGATGTCCCTCGCCTACTCCCCGAAAAGAGTGTGGATAGGCTCCATCATGCCAAGTGACATTCCTGTGGATGAAGCGGTTCAGATAATGGATGTATTTTTTTTCAACTCTTCCCGATTGTTTTCTTTTCACATCTAAAATATCGGGGCGCTAAACAGCGAACCGCCCAGGGTCCAGTTCTATCTCCCTCTGTTGGTCATTGTTTTTGCTTAGGTTTCTCTGAACAAGTTGGAACTGGGAAAGTAAGTTCCTTGTGTGTTTTTAATACTTGGTCAAAAAATCTAATATTGATTGGTTGATTGATTGATTGATTGATTGATTGATTGATTGATTGATTGATTGATTGATTGATTTACAGATCAGAGATGGGCAACGGAGGGCCGGCCAGCCCACTTTGAGTTGCCCTTTGATTTTTTTTTTAATTGGGGGGAGGGGATTCCCCCCCCCCCCATTTACTTCAACAAATCAAATTATTCTTCAAAATAATTTGATTTGTTGAAGTTCCCACCTACGGAGAAAATTCCCACCTACGGACTTCTGTCAAACAGAAATTCCCTCGCTCGGAATAAAAACCGCTGCATTCAAATTTCGCCTACGATATTGCATTAACGATCGATTCATAACAACGGAAGCTCCCGTACCTGGTACCCGGAAGCCCTACGCCATAAACCCGCAGTAGCGCAAACTCAAGCAAGTCCCGCTCGATACTACTGAATAACTGTAGTTGTGGTGGATCCGAAACGGCGACATGTAAGTGACTCTAATGGCATGAGTGTTATTGGGGTCGTGAACTATTTTTTTATTTACATTTACGTCCTGCAGATTGTGGCATAGAAATGAAGAGGAAGGATAATGACCTTGGAAGAGAGAATTGCTTGTGGCTCGACGGACAGTCGAGTAAACGAACGTTTCCTGGAATGCTTTACCTGTTATCGTGCTCAAAAACCTTCTGCTAACTGGACCGCTAATTAGAGAGAAGGCGAGTTCCATAGCGCTAACTATGGGCATCGAAGACTTCGAAGCGTCCCGTGGCTGGCTTCAAAAGTTCGTTGCATGACATCAGCTGAGCAATGCTGTCTTGTGTAGTGATCGAGGGGATGTAAAGGTAGAGATAGTGAGTGAGTGGAAAGAACAGCCACCAGGTCTGTTACTCGTCTCATTTTGTAGCACATAGTCCTAATTTTGTGACATGTCTTGTTGTACTGTATGTTGCAGTTTTTGTGTTATAAACAGGTTTTGGACCATATATTTTTGCATTTTATTGCTTGTGTCGTTACACATGTATTTTGTTAACATACTTGCATGTTCATAAAGTACATGTACCATAGTCGTTTCCCCACATCAAGAAATTCTGTTATAAGACCAGATTGGACAACGCAAATATGTTCCCTTACTAGAGAATAAAAAATGTGTCGAGGATGCGGGGCAATTCCGCAAAAACACATATAAATACAACAGTATAATAGATAGCGTGGTGCTGCTTTGACATGTGGGTGTCTCGTATGAACTTCGGCTCGCAGACGCACGCGCGCGCCCACACGTGCGCACACACGCGCGCGCGCATCGCGTGCACACACGCACATACACTCGCACACGCACAGCGCCCAAGTTAGCTAACAGAGTTTGCTAAACGACATATAGCTTTCATATGAGCATGAAAACGCCACTAAAGCGTAGAACTCACCTCCTCCACAGTGAGCGGCATGCATATCCTGTACTCCTTCAGCAACATCTTCCCTCTGCTGCGTGCCGCTGAGAACGTGCTTCACAACGCTCCCTCCTCACTGAGATGCACGTTCCACAAAAAGAAATCTAAAACTCCTTCGCTTCGTGTCAGCGCAGACGGGGGGACGGTTTCCAACTATGGCTCGATAAACGGAGTTCGCTCATCTGAACCAGCGAGGCGAGTGTCCGCTAGCGGGATGTAACAACCCCAAACCAGCTCAGTTTGAAGGATTTGTCCCCTCCTTTAAAGCTCAAGAGTCAGGAGTTTGTAACAAGCTCGCAGTAAAGCATTGCCGGAAATATTAAAGATTTGAGCTTCAAAATAAAAGCGTTACGAGGTTTCGCCCGCAAGAAAATCAAGGATTATCTCTCGTAGGTTGTTCTCGATGTTCATCATACAAAACTTCAGATATCAAAGTCTGTCAATTGTTCCAGTACGGGGAGGTGTTTCCACCCTATTGCAGGGATGGGTAACTGAAATGCTGGAGGGGCCTCAATTTTTCATCAGTGATTCTGGGGGAGCACATTGGACCACTCACTCCTTAACCATATCTATGACAAAAAGGCTATTTTATGGACGAAATACGCGCATACGTGCAACATACGTGTTATTAATATATTTAGTATTTGATAATACATTGTCTAATACATGTTTAAGAGATATTTGATCCTAACACAACAACAAAGGGTTTGAAACAAACAAGAAAATAACCACATGCTATAGTTCTTTTCCAGTGCAAAGGTCTTACTTGCATAAAAATTACATTTCAAGGATGGCACAAAACACCTGGACAAAATAAAACAACATAAAGTGAAGGAAGTCATTTTGTACATCCCCACCCCCAGTCCCACAAGAATCAACTCACTCAAAATATTCATATTATAGAAGGATTTTGGCGATGTAACGTGAATCTGATTTTTTAGGATGGTTTGAATGGCTCAATTCTGATTTTTTTTCAAATCCGACCTGGGTCACCTTAATATGTGGTCATAGATCGGATACGTATCCGATTTTTTACAATGCAGCCTCATTTGAATGGCCAGGTCACATATATTCAATGTATAACATCACCCAATTGCCAAAATCTGCTCCGCGTGGCCAGCAGGCAGTGCTTCGGGAGGAGCTTGGCTCATATCTGTGAATCTGCAAAATTGTTTTGGGTAACAGTATTGACTTTATATTTGACTCAATTTAATCCACTCAAAACATGAATCACATAGATGGTTCATTAATTACATATCAACACAGTTAATGTAACCAGACATAGTCAGTGCCCCAATTAATATGGGCCTTAGTAATGCAGACCATGTTTTGCTTTTTAACCCTTCAGTGTTTATGTTTGGAATTCATATACAGTATTGCTCAAGCCTTCAGGGCTGTCACTGATACAAGCGGGGAAATTGCTGAAACTTTAAGCTCCTTTATGGCCTGTGGTGCTGTTCCACCCAGTAAACGCTACAAAAAAGAGACCTCTCCTGGTGCATAGTAGACATTGCATGCCTGAGTTATTCATGTAGCAAAATCTTGTCCACAGCTCTACACCCTTAGCAGGGTCCTCGAGGGTACATAGGAGCTCTCCCAACAAGTCTGTGCTTTGTGAACTTGGGAGAAGGCGTTCAACCGTGCCCTTCGGGGTGTTCTGTGGAGGGGTGCTTCGGGAGTATGGGGTACCAAAACCCCCTGATATGGGCTTTTTGGTCCCTATGCCATTGATGTCAGAGTTTGATTCGCATTGGCGGCAGTAAGCCGGAATCATTACCAGTGAGGGTTGGACTCCATCAAGGCTGCCCTTTGTCACCAATTCTGTTCATAACCTTTATGGACAGAATTTCTAGGTGCAGCTGTGGAATTGAGAGGGTCTGGTTTGGTGGCCTCAGTATTGCATCTCTGCTTTTTGCAGACTATGTGGTGCTGTTGGCTTCTTCAAGCAGTTGGGATGAAAATCAGCACCTCCAAATATGAAACAATGGTTCTCAGTCGGAAAAGGGTGCAGTGTCCTCTCCAGGTTGGGGATGAGATTTTGCTCCAAGCGGATGAGTTTAAGTATCTTGCGATATATTGTTTACGAGTGAGGGCAGGAGGGAGCGGGAGATCAACAGGCAGATTGGTGCAGCGTCTGCTGTGATGCAGACTTTGTATCAGTCTGTCATGGTGAAGAAGGAGCTGAGCCAAAAGGCGAAGCTCTCAATTAATTAATATCGATCTACATTCCTACCCTCGTCATGACCGAAAGAACAAGATCTCGGATATAAGCGGAAAAAAATGATTTTCCTCCACAGGGTGTCTGTGCTCTCTCTTAGAAATAAGGTGAGAAGCTCAGTCATCCGGTAAGGGCTCAGAGTTGAGCCGCTTTTCCTCCACGTCCAAAGGAGCCAGATGAAGTGGCTCGGGCATCCTATTAGGATGCCTCCTGGACGCCTCCGTGATGAGGTGTTCCGGGTATGTCCCACCAGCAGGAGGCCTTGGGGATGACCCAGAACATGCTGGAGGGACTATGTTTCCGAGCTGGCCTGGGAAGGCCTGGGGATCCCCTGGGAAGAGCTGGAAGAAGTAGCTGGGGAGAGGGAAGTCTGGGCTTCCCTGCTAAAGCTGTTGGCCCTGTGACCCAACCCCAGATAAGCGGTAGAAAATGGATGGATGGATGGAAAATCTTGTCCATTCACAACGTTGTAGTTATAGTGTATTTTTTAATCATCTCGCTATTTAATAACCAAGATGGTAATGCTGTCATTTATCACTTCTAAAGCATTTTTTCAGTGTCATTTGCCTGAAATAATCACGTTTATGTATACAGACTTTTAATTAAAATGAATAAAACACTATTTTTAATCTATTACTGCACACAAGCGAGGAGGTATGACGAAAGGATCAAAGGGACAAAACAACAGGGTTGGGAACCACTACACTATTTACTATTGTCAAGTCAAGTACAACTTTATTGTCAAATGTGCGACAGCACAGGTGAAATTTCTTCCTTCTCAAGACAACATAAAACAAGAGGAGCCGCTGCGGGTGTCCACACCGCCATCAAAAGATACTGCTGCTGTATTGGTTACTGTAATTGATTTATTGTAAAACAAACAAACAACAACAAACAGTTGTGTAACTATATGCAAATTTAACATGTTCAATTCATTTTTAATTTTGTAAGTAAATACGATGATGCATCTACCTTATTGTAAGGTAACGGTATCGATATTTACACCGACGCACACCACGACTGAGTGCACTATGCCTCTCCGAAAACACTCACTCTCAATGTAGGACATGGCCGTCATCGCGAATGTCTGAACACGGCCTAATTATTAGTCAGCCTATTTGTCGTGAAAATCTTTTGCACTCATAAGTACACAGAAAAACTTTTTATTGGTATGGCTGACTAACATCACAGCAGGCATGATAGCAAGGCACCATAGCGGGTCCTTTCACGGTCCTTCAGGCGTGCTGAACACCTTTAACACGCTCGTAACTGATTGGTCAATTTCCAGTTGCGTTCAATTGACAGGCGAAATACTTGTAGTAGCCTGGCGAACAGAACACGCATTGTACGTTATCTTTGACGAGACGTCGCAAACATGGCAGAGGAACGATCGGAAAGATCCGATGGAAAGATTGTAAAGATGGAGATCGACTACAGCTCAACTGTGGATCAACGTCTCCCTGAATGCGAGAAAATGGCTAAAGTAAGTGGTCGTGAAAGAGGCCACCGCCGGCTGAGTCATGGTGCCAAGAACTAGACTTATAGCATTTGAGATCATGTTACACGCCTGAAAAATACTACCCTACAAACCGAGACAAATACGTTGAAACAAAAAGGTTATAGTTCTTAAAATGTCAAATTTCCTAACATCCTTCAGTTTCTATCTCTGTGCCTTCAGTGAGTTTGTAAAATGAAATCTACTAGCATGCTAACAGACCTAGCCGTCCGTGCATTGCTCAACATCGTCCCGGTTTCCAACAATCGTATTTACCTGCATAAAAGCTCATGCCTGTGCAAATGCTTCAAGTGTGGCAAATGTTAAAAGTGTGGAAGCGTGTGGTGTAAAGTATGTATGTTTTCTTCACCAGGAAGGCAAGCTGCAAGAAGCAGTTGAAAGCTTGTTGTCATTAGAGAAGCAAACTAGAACGGTAAGTCTGATGGTTAACTGTATTTTTACTGTTCACAATCTCTGTATAGCACTTGTTATATAAATGGAGGGGTTTGGGATACATTTAGTTACAGATATTTTTTCTACTTGATTGGGTGTTTTGGTGCTGATCGCTGATGAAATGTCAATTGTTGCCCCAACCCCCCACCCCTAAACAATTTCCTATAAAGGCGTCTGACATGGTGTCCACGTCGAGAATCCTTGTGGCTGTGGTCCAGATGTGTTATGCAGCTAAAGACTGGGATGCCCTAAATGAAAACATTATGCTCCTTTCCAAAAGGAGGAGTCAGCTGAAGCAGGTCAGACATTATTTTCCCATCAGTCTGTTTCTACCAGTTAGTCATTCAATAATGTTTTTTCTCTAAAGATTTCAAAATTATTCCCAGACATTGTTTAGTGCTCACAATGTGCTGTTTCTCTTCTTAGGCTGTTGCAAAAATGGTCCAAGAATGTTACAAGTATGTCGATTCTGTGACGGATTTGACCATCAAGTTGCGGCTAATTGACACACTTCGCACAGTGACTGCTGGAAAGGTTTGCTACGTGTCAAATACTCATTTGCATCGTAGTCCATCAGATGTGAGAGACTTGAAAGGCCGGGTTAATATAATGATATATCCTGTATAGTATTTTCCATGAACATGACTTGAAATTATTGGTACCGGTAATTGTCTTTTATTTGTTTCTTCATTTGTAAAATACATATTATATATAGACCACACAAGAGTTGCACCAAGTCCCAGTACTAGTCTTGTATCATGAATTTTAGGAAGCAAAAATCACAAGATACCCTAATTAAAAAAAAAAATTAAATACAGCTCTTTTAGGGTTGGGGGAATTGACCGCAAGCGCTCCAACTCTGTGGCACCAGACTGGTGCACAGCACGTCAGCCGCGGAAGCCCGTCTGTAACATGATTTGTTTAAAATCTTTCCATATAAATAAATGTTAAAAATGTACATAATTTCCGGTTTACAAAGCTCACCTGATTCAAAGCCTTACCAGTTTAAAGAGGAGATAAAAAAAAAAAAAAGTACCTGCTGTATATTGGCTGCCTCACTTTATTCACTGTGGCTCTCTAGGTAATAACACAGGATATTTTCAAAGAAAGGTATCTCAGTTGGATTTTTAAAAACTTTTAATTCCCTTAAACACAGTAAACATGTTTTGTTCCACCCCAAGCAATGCAGAACACAGTTAGTTACATGGTAGCGTCCCAGTAAAGGAATTGATTCTGCATCTGGTCTGCGTATGCTCTGTCTTGACATAAATGCGTATTGACGTCATCGATGACGCACTTAAAAGCGTTAGCATCCTACCAGAGCTAGTCTGCAACGGAAAACTTGTTTTGAACTACTTTTAACTTTTTTTTTTTTTTTTTTAATCAAGCTGTTCCTTTAATAAAAAATGTTGAAATAATCACAGCTACTGCGTTAACTTGACAAATGAACTATCGTGATAAATTACGTGATGTTTACATCGGTCTCCAGATATTACATGGGTGTAAAACGGCTGTTCTGATAAATGTAGTGGCGCATGTAAATGGTAGGTTGTAATAGATCATATCACACGAAAACAAAATTTTTAATTTCATTTGGTCATTTGATTTCATTCTAATTTGAATGGAAGGCTCTGTGTAAACCATTACTGAAATGAAGAATCAATATAAGCATGAACTCGGACAGTTTCACTGGTCTACTCTGACATCTTTGAAAATGTCAGATGTTTTTGTATAATATTGGTGAAGAGTGGGCATCTTCTGATAAATTTTGAAATGTCCCCCTCCCAGATCTATGTAGAGATTGAGCGTGCCAGGCTCACAAAGACCTTGGCTAATATCAAGGAACAAAGTGGAGACGTGAAAGAGGCGGCATCCATTCTTCAGGAGCTGCAGGTAAGAGACAAAAAATGGGATTGTGCTACTATGGTGATAGTTGCCAAATTTATTTTGGTCCTCCTGCAAACAAAATAATGAACCACTTCTGGGCCTCATCAGTGTGTGTTTTTTTTTTTTTTTTTTTTTTTTTTAAACCCAGGTTGAAACGTATGGCTCGATGGAGAAAAAAGAAAAGGTGGAGTTCATCTTGGAACAGATGAGGCTTTGTGTTGCTGTCAAGGATTACATTCGCACACAGATCATTAGCAAGAAGATCAACACCAAATTCTTCCAAGAGGAGGGCAGTGAGGTAAGACACTGACACAATAAGAGATTTAACAAAGTAGTATATTTTGTCCAGTAGAAAGAATGATGTATGGTGTGTGTGTTTTTTGTTTGTTTGCGTGTTTTAAGAAGAGTTTGATTCAATGGAATTGACTTAACGATTGCTCAGTCATCTGGGATCAGCTCTATCTGAATTCCATCCCCAATGAGAAAATGTGCTTGACAAAATGTATGGATGAGGGTTTAACGGAAAAATATCTTTTGTTTGAACAATTTAGGAACTGAAGCTGAAGTACTACAACCTAATGATTCAGGTGGACCAGCATGAAGGGTCCTATTTGTCTATCTGCAAACACTATCGGGCCATTTATGATACCCCGTGCATCTTGGAAGACAGCAGCAAGTGGCAGCAGGTACAGCTGCACTACATGAAATGTATTTGCTCCTTATGACTGATCCATTCTCATGAACAAACGTCTGCACAAAATGTGAATGTGTGTTTCAGGCCCTGAAGAGTGTCGTGCTGTATGTGATTCTCGCCCCATATGACAATGAACAGTCTGACCTCGTACACAGAATCAGTGCAGATAAGAAATTGGAAGAGATTCCCAAGTACAAGTAAGTTCCCTGATTTATACACTGCGTCTACAAAGTATTCAGAGCACTTCATTTTTTCCACATTTTATGTGACAGTTGTATTCTAAAATGGAATCAATTCTTTTTTTTTCCGAAACATTTTACATATAATGCCCCTTAATAACAACATGAAAATTATTATTATTTTTTTTTTTTTTGCAAATTTCTGAAGAATAAGAAACTAAAGTTGCTGTACCTAAGTATTCATAGCCTTTACCGCGAAGCTCAAACCACGCTTCGGTGAATCCAGTTTATCCTGATCGTCCTTGAGGTGTTCCTGCAAGTTAATTTCGCTATGGCAAATTAAGTTGTTTGGAAAGGATTTAGACAGGGAGATACTTTTTTATGTAATGTCCCACAACTGATAGTGTATGTCAAAGCACAAACCAAGCAGTAAGTCTAAGATAATTGTCTGTAGACCTCCGAGGCAGGATTGTGTTGGGGCATAGGTCTGGGGAAGGGTATAGAAATAAATCTGCTCCTTTGAAAGTTTCAACGAGTACAGTGGCCTCCCATTTTCTGTAAATGGAAGACGTTGGGAACCACAAGGACACTTGCTAGAGCTGTCCGCCCGTCTAAATTTAGCACTTGGTGGAGAAATGTTCTCATTGACGTGACCAAGAAGCTGATGATCACTTTGTTAAAACGCAAATATTTCTCTGGATAAAGAAGAGAACCAGAACAACAACCATCCCAGCAGCAAACCACCAATCAGGCCTTCATGGGAGGGTGGATTAGAGGTATCACAATTAATCGGTTAATCAACCATCAAATTCATTGACAAGTATTTCATAATCAATGAATCGTTAGAGCCACTGTTTAACTTAAAATAGTCAAGATCCTCCGATTTCAGCCTCAAGAAGAAAATATTTGCTGATTTCTGTCGTCTTTCATAAAAGTAGACGGATTATTGTTTTTGCTTAGTCAAAATAAGACATTTTCAAACGTATACTTTTCCTTTGGAAAGCAATGAATCAACATTTTTTCCCAAATTTCTGACATGTTACAAATCAAAGCAGTACCTGAGTGAATCATAATCAATTTGCAGGGGGAAAAAATCAATTTAATGTATTAGCAGCCATTCACATTAACCAGTGCCCAAGAAGGCTCCCCTTACTTAATTGTGATTTATTTTTTCATCCTTACACAATACCAAATATACAACAATCAGCGGTTAGTAAACAGTAAACTGAAAAAAATATTTTGCAATACATTTCAATGCAAAAGGAATTTTTATTCCATTAATCGATGAAATAAAAGATGGAATAATCAACTCTAAAATCATTCAGTTGTGACAGCCCTACTTTGAATATTTGCGTATGTCCTCAGTAGTACAATGTGATATCAGTGGTCCATTTACTTGTGATTAATCCCCAGGGAGCTTCTAAAGCAATTCACCACTATGGAGCTCATGCGCTGGGCTGCCCTTGTGGAGGATTATGGGAAGGAGCTACGAGAGGGCTCACCCGGGAGCCCCGCCACAGATGTCTTTTTGTATTCTGAGGACGGGGAGAAACGGTGGAAGGATTTGAAGAACAGAGTGGTGGAGCATGTAAGTTTGAGATTTGGTGACAGACGGTGGTTGAATCTCTGACATTGGCATTCATTGTTTTAGCAATACACACAAAGCATTAGCCTTTAAATACAGTGAAACCTGGAGAAATAGATACCAGACCCAACCAGAACTGTTAATAAGATATAAACGTCTTAAAACGCACTTAAAATTATTACAACATCAATTTTGAAGTATTCCTTACCGGTTGTTTTTTACTCTTTGTCACAGAGTTCTCCAAATAAGCAACAAAGCAGAGTTTCAATTACATCATTAGAAAATACGTATTTGTTGATTACAGTGTACAACAAATGGTTCTTCATTTCCACAGAACATAAGAATAATGGCCAAATATTACACCAGAATCACAATGAAGAGGATGGCTGGGCTCCTTGACCTCTCCATCGACGTAAGGACTGATTAACGGGGGAGGGCGTCTGTTGGGGCTGCAAACATGTCCGCCCAAGTTTGAAAATGCTGTGAGGAAAAACGTGACATGTTATATTCTTCAGGAATCTGAGGAGTTTCTCTCCAGCCTCGTTGTGAACAAGACCATCTACGCCAAAGTGGACCGCCTGGCCGGAATCATCAACTTCCAGAGGCCCAAAGATCCCAACGACCTCCTCAATGACTGGTCACAAAAACTCAACTCCCTCATGTCGCTGGTCAACAAGACAACACATCTCATTGCGAAGGAGGAAATGATCCACAACCTGCAGTGAAACATTGTAGTTTTTGTTGTGGTTTTAATTTGTTGTGTTTTCCCTCCTTCTGCTCAATTGTATTTGAATATACAGTATGTTGGTCAACAAAAGATCTGCAGTACAAACACAGCTGTGTAGAGTTTTGTCCATTAAAAACAGATGGACCGTTGTGTTCCTGTCACGCTTTCTTGCTAACCAGTAACTTCATCTTGAATTGTTAGAGACTTGACCATTTATTTACTTGTTGACAAAAAATACAACCTAAGAAAAATAAACTCACATTTGTGTAACAAATGAGTGATATCGTATTTAATGACAATCATTACAATACTAACAAGCAAGCTACTAACTACATAATAAATGGAACTTTCATGAATATTCCAGTTTGATCCAAAAACATGTTTGTTTGTTCATTGAGAGCAATGTTTCCCAACCTTTGAACCAGGGCACATCTTTTACATTAGCAAAATGTTGCAAAAAGTACCTGAAATGATAATCTTGTCTCACTTAACTCGCAAATTTGCTTTGAGTTTGAAATCCAACACAATTCTGTTGTCTGAATGACAGCCAGTCTTTTATACCTACTAGCGTGAACGGGAAGAGCATTTAATTGTTCTGCTTGTCACATTATGTCACTGGCAGTGATGTATGAATGCAGAGAGAGTTAGAAATGTGTTGTATGCTATGCTTTTTGTCCCAATTAAATGAAATTGGAGAATTTCTTGTGTCACCTGGTGTTCTCTCACAGATCTCTGCTGCAGCACAGTGGTTGAGAATGACTAATTTGGAGCAAATTATGAGAACCAGCGCTATTGAATATGAAATATGCCCTGGTTGTATACCGTCTCATGCTCAATGGCAGCTGGAATAGGTTACAGCTAACCTGTGACCTAATAGGACATGATGGATAAATGGAATATACAGAAATGTATTTGCCCCCCTCAATATTACTGTCAACCTACCTACCCAGGCTTATTTTTACTTTCCTATAACCAAATATTTCAAATGCAAACTGTTGATATTTTCGAGTTTTTTTCCCCCGACCGGGAGGCAAATCCCACAGGAGCACTTGGGACTTTTTGAACAAATGAATGTCACAGAACAAAACGCGTACGCACCCCCTTCAACCTTCAGATCGTTTCATCCCATGATCCTTTGCGCGAGTCTGACAAGTGGATCCAAGATGGCGTAGAAGTAAAGCTAGGTAAGTGTTGACTTCCCATTTTCAAACCTTTCATTTTCTGCTTTATTTTGAGGCTGGTGTCAATATATGCTAATGCGCAGCAATAGGAAAATAGCGCATGTTTGTATTTTATGCGTTGGCAACAGGTCGATGTCATATGAATTATATGCGCCAGTATACCGTAGCGGAATCACAGGCCCGAACCCGTTTTGTTACGGCGAGCCCACCTAGCCAACCTAGCTTGCTAACGTTAACCCAGCAGCCTTCTACGCTTTATTCGAGCTTTCAAGGTTTGTGCTGCGAAGATGCACGTTCCGAAAAGCGAGCAAACTGCAAGCGCTGCGTTCCTTGTTAACGGCATTGGAGTTGTGCCTGTGGAAACGCGGTGCAGTGGAGACATTTTCGAGGCTTTGAAACGTCACCGTTTGTCATAGTCAAAACAAGTTTGCCTCGCCAAAGAGAAAAGTGAGCCCTCACACGACAGCTTCTAAGGATAAACGTTCTACTGGTCTTCTCAATTAGATCAAATATGTCGGCTGGTTCTAAAAAGACGTTGCATCATTATAGCAAATTGGATATTATTACTTTTATTATGATGATGATGATGATCATAATTTTATTATCCAACTCACTTGTCCATTACTTCTACCATTTTTTAATCCCCTGTGGAAGTGGGTGTCTCACAAAAACATTGTAATTCTCCCACTGAATCCCACCAAAATATTTGTTGTGGCATCTTGAAAGCATCATGATCTCAACTGAAATTTGTTTATATAACCCTTCATAACAAACGCACCTGTAATACACGAAACACAAAAGCTACATATATAAAAGAGAAGTATAACAATCATAAATAGCCAAGCAAAATCTTCTCCAATGGAAATACAGATGTTCAAAGCTGTTAGCAGAGAAGTCTCCATTGACTGGGATGAGGGTGCCTGGATCCTAGATGTTGCGATCACAGTGCACAGGATGTCACTCAATTTTGCTTCAAACTAAGATTGAAAGTAAACAACACCTACGACTAGTTTTCGAACAGCCGATAGTTCATCCATTGGCAAGTGATAATAATACAGAAAGATTGGTTCAATTCTGCTACCTCATTTTGTCGTCTCTCGCTTGATTTTACTTTTTTAATGCCAATTTTCATCTGTCTCCATATATGATCTTTGAGGCATTCAACTCTACTTTTGGGTAAGTGAAGAGCCTTTCGGTCCTGCTCTTAGCAGTCATACCAACGCAGACGATACAGTCATGCTGATACTCACAACACAACAAAAAAAAAAAATGGGGCCTTTGCAAACATACTGCCCATGAAGGCGCAAAACACAAAGCGCCAATATTCGACACGATTGTCCCGGCCAGAAATGCCAAACACACTCCACAAAAGGTTTATATGACATCATATGATGCACAATTAACTTTAAAATGACAAAAAGGGTGAAAAGTAGAAATGAAAGAGAAATCTAAGCGGCGCTTCTGTAAAAGGCTGCCATATTCAAAGTTGGCTTCTTTGATATCCAGTATAACTCTTTATCCCCATATAGCCAGAGGGCAAATTACGGCCCGTGGGCCGGATACGGCCCGTTGGTCTTTTTAATCCGGCCCGCCGAAGGTTGGTACAGTACACAATTAAGGTTCAATGTAAATGATTGTATTCATTTCATTTTGACTTGTAATGACAGTCATTTCAACGCCAGGTGGCGGAGTTACTTGAAGTTGCAGAGCACAGGGAGGGAGAGGGAGACGATACGGAAGCCCGCAGTAGCGCTAACTCAAGTAACTCCGCTCGATACGACGGAATAAGTGTGTCCGCGCCGCTATTTTCAATCATTGGATTCAAAACGACGACATGCAAGTGACTCTTTATTGCAGTGAGTTTTACTGGAATTGCGAACATGTTTACGTCCTGTAGATCATGGTATCTAAAGGAAGAGGAACAGTCATGGCCGCGAAAGTGAAGTGTATCTAATTAAACGAAGCGGGTTACAAAGTACGAAACATTCAGGAGACGCTTGGAGTCTGATAGACTCAAATCTACGAGACTTTGAAAAACGAGGAAGCGATTCTTGCTCAGTCCGATTCTAGGTGTTTCCATGCTCAGAGTGAATTGCATGCGGCTCGACGGACAGTCGAGTAAAGAAACGTTTCCTGGAATGGTTTGACTATTATCGTGCCAAAAACTTTCCGCAAACTGGACCGCTAATAAGAGAGCAATCAAGTCCCATAGCGCTATGGGCGTCTTAAGACTTCGAAGCGTCGTGTGGCTGGGTTCAAAAGTTGGTTGCACGACATCAGCTGAGCAACGCTGTCTTGTGTGGTGATCGAGTGGAGGTCAAGTTCGAGACAGTGAGTGAGGGGAAAGAAAGCCACCAGGTCTTTTACTCGTCTCATTTTGCAGCAAATAGTCCTAACTTTGTTATATTTTGTCATATACCTGTACTGTATGCTGCAGTTTTTGGGCAATATATCGATGCACTTTGTTGCTTGTGTTGTCACACATGTATGTTGTTAACATACTTGGACGTTCATCCAGGACATATACCACAGTTGTTTCACTGTTCTCATGAAAAAAAAGTATGGTAATACTTTAATGCTTTTGTTCTGTTGATGTTTGGTATGGACTGTCAACATATACAGTTTTTTATATGTACTGTATCTTGTGCTGACCCGGTCCACCTGTCAAATTTTGAAATCAATGTGGCGCCCGAGCCAAAAAGTTTGCCCACCCCTGGGCTAGATTGATTTACTAATTGAAGTAAGCCAGAACGTCAATGTAGAAATTGATGTCGCATGCAGCTGCCACAAAATATGGTAAATCTGCAAAACTGAACATTTACTTCTGAATATTTCATGTGAACTAAATCAATGTAACGCTCCCTTTGGGAGAGAAATAGTCTTCAACTTCATTTGTTGTCAACACCATAACTATGGTTGTTTGTAGTTTCAGCACACCAGAAAGTGGTAATAACATTTGCTTTACATTGTTCGGTTAGCGACATGATAATAACCACACTAATAATGGTGTTTCCATCCAATGTTGCCAAACTTTGAAGCAAATTTAGTGAAATCGCACAAAACGAATAAACGACCATTGCCCATTCCTATTTGTTCTTGTTTTGTGACTTTTGAGATTAGAGGAGACTGCCAGTGCCTTGAGATGACGTCATAAGAGCGACTCTCTTGACTAACAAAATGTTGCTTTCGTGGTTAAAGCATACCGAGACATAAAAAGGTGATGGCAGAGAAGACTGTTAATGTTGTGAATATTGTCAGAGATAAGAAGACCTATGCATGGTTCTCCGCAGGCACGTTCCTGCGTCAATGAATGCTTCTTTTATTAAATCCAGAAATATTTCAATTTCTTCGTCACCCCCAAACGTACCTTACTTTTTTTTGTGACTGAACGTGTGACATGGTATCCGGACCTGTCAAGATTTATTTGCAAAACCTGTTTCCATAGCCAAAATTCTTATTTTCCTTTTATCGATGTGCTCAAAAATTCGCCCCATCAAAGTGTAAAACCAATTTAGTGAATTTTAGGCCTTTTGTCAAATTTTTTGAGTTTGCACTCGGGCTTATTGTCGAAATTCTTGGAAATTCAAATAAAAATATGTGCATGAAAACCCAGAGTAATAATTGTCTCAATGAGGGCTGCCACAAACAACAAATTAGGTACTGACTAATCAGTATACCAATCATGGCATATTGCACCAGCAAGCAGCTGCTCTTATATAATCATCATGTAACAGTAGGGTTGGGTATCAATTCAGATTTCCAAAATCCATTTGATTTGCTTTGCAAGGGGCCGATTTGATTCACGATTCACTTTGATTTTTGATTCAGTTAAGGATTTCACAAATTATCAATTTTACTTTAATATGGAAGACAGACGAAGAAGAGAAAAAATATATAATACAACTGGTTCATAAAGCTAATTTTAAGATTTCTTTACCAGCAATCTCAATTGATCCCACATTAATGAAAATATTCAGATGTTTCATGCACTTCTGGTCTACTTAGTTCCTCTTCCATCATGCAAAGTGTCCTGACTTGTGTCCATAATTGTCCTGAATGCTATAAGTGTGGCAGCCCACCCAAGTGGTTAGTATGTCGGCCTCACAGTGCAGAGGTACAGGGTTCGATTCCAGCTCTTGCCTTACTGTGTGCATGTTCTCCCCGTGCCTGCGTGGGTTTTCTCTGGGTACTCCAGTATCCTCCCACATTCCAAAAACATGCGTGGTAGATTAATGGAACACTCTAAATGGTCCCTCGGTGTGAGTGTGAGCGCGGATGGTTGTTCGTCTCTGTGTGCCCTGCGATTGACTAGCAACCGGTTCAGGGTGTCCCCTGCCTCCTGCCCGAAGACAGCTGGGATAGGCTCCAGCATGCCCCATCACCCTTGTGAGGATAAGTGGATCAGAAAATTGAAGAATGGATGTTAACAGTGTAGAATAAGAAGGTCAACCATGATCTATTACAGCCTCCTGCATTGTCATTTTTCAGTATACTTTCCAGAGAAAGTTGGGTGCGGAAAGCCGGACAGTGGCCGGTGATGTGCACCGGTTCTTGTGTTCATTGCAAAGAATTTTACATTTTGTAATATGAAGTTTTTTCATATTATTTATACATTATTCATTTAAAAATGTTATCTTTATTTTTGCGCCGTCCTCTTTGGCTCATTTGTTTTAAATGCAACATGTTTAATTTTCCAGTGTTCATGTACTGAAAAATAAATGTTAAAAAAGTGACATTCACATTTATTAGCATGAATACCACAAAAGATACCAATTTCAGTACGTTGTACTAGATTTGATTCCCAGGTACCGGGAATCGGAACTGACCGGTTTAAATGTGAATGGTATTCATCATTATATGCCTCTATAGATCCGCACACGTTTGCTGTTGTCGATTTGATTTTAATTGTTATTTTTTTCCCCCCACTCTCAGAAGTTTTGTCCCTGAGTCATGGCGGACAGGAGAGCGGAGAAATCATGTGAAGAAGCCAGCAGATCGTTAGTAAGGCGGGAGTATGAGGCGGTAGTCAGTCACAGCACGGACACCTTGGCGGTCCTTGCTCCCCAAGTCCAATCCACAGGCATCCAGCTCTCAGCGAACCCGCCTTGCGGAAGCCTCCGCAGCCGCGCCCTGCTTTATCGCATCGCTGCGTTTCTTCAGTTGGTGAGTATAGTACCGGTCCAATGCTTTGTCATACACTGTAGAAATTGTGTCCCTGAATGAACACTTTTTAGCTTTTTTTTAAAGCAAAATATCTTTTCATTTATCATTAATCCTTGGACAGCAGAGTGGAATACTATTTGCCACGCATTTGAAAATTTCTGGCTTTGAATCTGCTCAGGGCCACTTGTGTGGAGTTTGAATGTTCTCCTTGTTCGTTTTCTCTGGATACTCCAGCTTCCTCCTAAAACAAACAAAAGAAAACAAACATGCACATTACTGTAATATATGTGCTGACTGACTGTCTCTGAAGATACGTGAGAGTTGTAAAGATAGCTGTGTGGGGAAAAAGACTCGCCTTGGAAAATACCCATACTTCTAACTAGCAGGGAAACCACCTTGTACCATCTTTTTGTTTCTATTTACGATTGTTTACTTGTTTCTCTCCCTGAACTGTTCGGAACAAATCCACTCACGACGGCCTCATGATACTTGATGAACAACAAACATGTTCTAATTGCGGAGCTGAAGAAAGGGAATTGTAGGGTAGGAGATATATTGCAGAACACTTTACAGAAAACGCTTCTTGAAACTACGTGAGGCCCGGACGTCCGGCACGCCAAACACACAGATATGGAATATACTTTGGTGGAGTTATGTCAAAACCGACACGTTTATAAGCATTGCAACAACAAATCGATAAAAATTGATAATTAAGTGTTGACAACTAATTTCATTATCAATTTGTTTTGTCGTTTAATAATTACATCAGTCGCCCGCTGTGCCACACGGTTATAAGGTCAGTCAGCCGCTGTATTCTTGTGCTGTGAGACCCACAACCAGCTCTCATGGGTCTAACATGACACGGTCTTCTCCAAACCAGTGCTTTACAGTTATTTTGTGTTAAGCAATTACAAGTTATTCTAGTGTGGCCAAAATTGCCAATACATTGCTGAGCTGAGGCAGCGGCTCAGAATTTGAGCTCACTGCTCAGCTAAGGTCCTTGTCTCACTGCATGACTTTTTTTGTTGCACTGTCAGACAACCAGAAAAATATCATTTGTCTTGGACTGGGCAAGACATCACACGACAAGTCCGTCACCGACCATTGTGATTTGTTTATGTCCTTGGTGTATGACGCGTCCAAATTCAGCTGGGATTGACTTTATCTCTACCCTAAACCTGTGGACAAGCGCTGTTGAAAATGGATGGATCGGATTAAAAAAAGACAATAAATGAAGATAATGTTTTTAAATCACTGTTTCACCCTGAAGCAACAAGAGAAGGTTAAATGAGAGGAATAAACATTTGTCCCTCAATGTTCTCAGAGCAGTAAAATTACATGCTATACAATTATGGAAACTACTTAAGATTTATAATGATAGTGGTAGCTACTCCATTGTGACGTCTAGATAGTGATTCCCTGAAATTCTGTGAAGGTTTGACCCCGGGATGTCTAAAGTATATTTGTTGTCGCTGTTTTTCAATTTCTTCTTTGTTGTGGCTGTTGTTCAAATTTCTTCTTTCTTTCCCAACAGAAAAAATATGATGAAGCAGATCAAGACTGCAAACATGGTAAGCATTACATGTTTACCTTTTAATATAAAACTGTCAGGATTCCGAGATCAAGATTTGATTAATTTCACAATAGGGATGGCCGAGTGGTTAGCGCATCAACCTCACAGTTGTCTGAGGTTGTGTGCTCAATCCCGACTCTGGCCTTCCTGTGTGGAGTTTGCATGTTCTCCCTGTGCCTGTGTGGGTTTTCTCCGGGTAGTTCGGGTTCCTCCCACATTCCAAAAACATGCATGGCAGGCTGATTGAACACTCTAAATTGTCTCTAGGTGTGAGTGTGAGCGCGGATGGTTATTTGTCTCTGTGTGACTTGCAATTGGCTGGCAACTGGTTCAGGCTGTCCCCTGTCTACTGCCCAAAAACAGCTGGGATTGGCTCCAGCACCCCCCGCTACCCTAGTGAAGATAAACCGGTTTGGAAAATGGATGGATGGATGGATGGTTAAGAATCCTGTTTGACTTTAGTCTGAAGGCACTCTTTGACCAGATTGTTGATAGGCAATATAACACTAAAGCATTCCCCACACACGAACCTTGCCCCCCAAAAGCTCAGGTTCTCCCGAACCCTTAATCTGATTTTCTAAACTCTCTGTGTGTTGTACTCAGGTTGAAGTGGCCATTCTATTATTTAAGTCTGGTTGACTTTGCAATTTGACACAATGTCATTTTGGGGAAATCTTTACAAGTTGCGACGAAGTGCATAAAGAAAAGTTGCACGGGTCATAAATATGGCTGTGATTTTGCACATATACCTAACTTGTGTGCAGAGTATGAACATTGTACGCTTTTATTAGTGACTTGGCCCTATGTTCTTCCTCTTCTTTCTCACCTAGTCCTGGCAGAAGATAGGGCGGGGGGAGACGGTTTGCTCCAGGCCATCTTGGGCTCCATGCAGTTGGATGGCAGCCTGCAGGATGTGGCCAGCATCCTTTCTAAAGCTTTGTTTGGAGAGCCAATGGTATGTTGAATGGACAGTATTTACTTGTATGTGCAGAGCCACCTTCGGTCAGGATAAAAATGTACTGCAAATTTGGGCTGGACAATTTATCGAAATTAAAGCCATAATTTAGAATTTGGCTGCTCTCGATCTTTCAAATATTAAAATCGAAGAAAAAAGATAAATGTGCAGCACGGTGCAATGCATTTACAAGTTCCTGATGTTGTGCCCTTAATGCACATGCTGCTTGTGTAGCAAAATGTAGTCTGTGTGATTCTGCTGTCCCTGACTGTGCTTTAAGATGGTTGACAGTTGGATGGTTGGAGTTGACTATAAAACTAAACGTCCACTAAACGTCCAACAAAAAGAACTACTCACATTGTATGTTTGAATACAGAACGTGTTTCGTTTTTAAAACAATGCTAGCGCTAATGCTAAAGTAATGGAGCATCTCATTCAAATGCAAATTCTAATGCAATCGTCTAAACAGTAGAATATGTGTTAAGAAGCAAATTCCACCTGCTTTTAGCCACAATAATATTTGCCAGCAAGAGGTAGCGTTCATCCTGCTCGTTTCACAGTAATGCTTAGTGTCATGACGTGCTTTCATTCTACGTGGAAAATAATTGAGGTGTCGGAATCTGTCGATTGCCTTTGGGCAGTAGTGAATGATGTCATATCATATTCTGATTCATGTTGACATTTTTATTTCATCTCATACTGTCATGAACTCATGTAAATATTAAAGCATCTGATGATTGCTGTCATGAAAATCAATTTTTCCCTCCACTCCAAACCAAAACGTCCTTAAATCCTTCATGTTACAAATCATTGTTGTAATGAAATTGTCTTCATCTTTTTTTTTCTGCAGAATGGCATTGTTGCAAAAGACATATCCAGATTAAAAATTCTGTTTTCAGAAATAGAGGTCAGTATCAAGTCGCCATACACCACATTGGCATAGTTACCGTCCTTTTTTTGTGCATGCCCTTTGCCAGACTTTAATTACTAAATGCTTCAAGCTGGACTCATAATGGCATAGTTGTCACTATTTTTTCTCCCTCAGTCTAGTTTGTTGCTGTTTTGGAAATAATATGTAATACTCTTGTAATTGCAGTGGTCAGACTGCTTGTTTGGTTATACTGTATTAAGAGCCATGACACAATAATTTTCTCCCGTGTCCACCTCCCCATCCTTTTTGTCTTGTCAGGCTATAAAGAAGAGTGCGATGGCACCAGAATACACGGATGACCAGGAGGAGGGTAGGCAAAAAGTTGCACCGCACTTTGAGGTGTCCTAAAAGGTTTTCGTTCAGCCTCGGTGACCATTTGACTTTATGTGCACTGACAGAGGTCCAAGACGGCTGGCAGTTTAGGCCCCCACCTCGAGGAGTCACCAGCAGTGAGGAGTACACTCTCTGTAAAAGGTGAACAAAAAAAAGCAGGGGTTTGAAGTTGTGAATGTATTGAGGTTGGATGAGGAGTTTTAAAATGTCAGAGCAATGTTATATTTACCACTTACCTGTGAATAAAAAACCTGTTGTAATGTCAAGAATCATCAACTCGATATGAATAGCACACAAGTCGCTGGGGTTACAATGTCTGTAAATTGGTCTTTAAATTCCACTATACTGTTGTTCATTTGCTCTCTGGTAGCATTTAAATATGTCATGCTGGACCAGTATAGGAAAGAGACATGAAAGGCAGACTTTGTCTTCATACTGCCTTTAATTGTATAGTTTCACAGGCAAAGCTGGTGTAATTGAAGGGAAAAAAAACCTAGCATCCAACCACACTCTTCACCTCTCCTTTAGGTACTTAGAGCAGGGTCTGTGTCGGTACGGGGCCCAGTGTACGTCAGCACACTCGCAGGAGGAGCTGATGGAATGGCAGAAACGCTATGCGTCGCGCCTCATCCGTCTGAAGCAACAGCAGGAAAGCAAACACTTCACTGAAAATTACATGGAGACACTAATAGAGAAGTGGATGAACTCTCTCTCCCCAGAGAAAGTGGTATGTGACTCGCTTGATAGAAAACACCAGATACTGTCCTTTATACACAGTGTACTGTTTCTAGTGAAGGTGCATAATATATGCATCTATCTTTTATAGTGAATAGCTACACACCTGATTTAAATCTGTTACACTGCTTATAGTACATAGCATGTTCGCAATTGTTGCAAACTGACCACAGGCCATAGGTTGACCCTCGCCTTCGTGCAATAAATACAGGCGCTCCCCGATTTACGAACATTCGTGTTACGAACAACGGTCCATACGAACATTTTTGCGGGTACAGGTATGTCGAAAAATGTTCTCGGACAGAGATGCTGTAAGTTAGATTTTGTATTGCGCGCCTTTTTCCGAGTACTGTAGTACTTCTTTCCGCCGCTAATACCGACCTGAGGCGCTGTGAGAGGAGGAGGAGGAGGAAACGCCTGTCCCCATGAAGAAGTTTGAGACGGAACTCTTGGCCGAGGGGTTTTCGCTCATAGATAAAGCCATCGCACTCTTCGAGCAGCAAGACCCAAATATTGAACGTTGCACAAAGGTTGCAAATCAAATGAATGATGCCATACAGTGCTACTGCATCATTTATGATGAGAAAAAGAAGAAAACTGTGCAATCGTCGTTAGATCGCTTCTTTCGGCCAGTTTCTACTACGCCCTCCAAGGAAGATACTCGTCAACCCTCATCATCTTCTCCTGGACCCTCAACTTCTTCCTTCATTGATGTTACGGAGGAGGAAGTAACTCTTGAAGCCCATTCCAGCGGCGACGAAGACCCTCTCGGCCCCATGATATAAAATCTTCCTCTTCCTTCTCCTCCCCCTCCATCATCTCCTTAAGCCTTCGAGTACATCTTCCAAAAGTAAGTTAAACTTCATTTTATTACACTTAGATAAACCTTAAACATACTTATATAAGCCTTAAACATACATTCCATACAAAATATAGCACTGAGGCAACTTACGAACGAATTCAGCTTACGAACGATCCTTTGGAACGTATCTCGTTCGTTAGCTGGGGAGCGTCTGTAACACGTATCAAACATGCATTAGAAATAAGTCTTACTACAGGTGGTATAAAGCACTTTTAATCCCTTTCGATTTTAATTCCCAAAGTGGATGTCAGAGAATAATTTTTCCGAAGTCTGCATTATTTGATCTATAGAAGTAATAATTCTTATTGTTAGGGTTTTCAAATTCTGTTGTTATTTCACCTATTTTCCTCTTTCCAGCTAAGTGACTGTTTAGAAGGAGTCAACGTTGAAACCAGCACAAGTCTCTCTCTTACCGTTACCACCAAAAAATCTTTCCAATCTTGGACCTTCTCACTGCTCTGCAAGGTAGGGAAAAAAATGATTTGTTGGCAACCATTCTAATATGGATCAGCACCCTAATTACTATGGCTGAGCATTTAACTAATTTTCCTGAATTAAAAAAAAAACATTCAAGTTTTCAAATTTCTATCCCTTCATTACACAAAAACAGGACATAATTGACAGTGCAGAAAACGCACAAATTCAACTAGCAATGTGGTCTATAATGTGCACTGTTAAGGGGAAGCTAGACTGCACACAGGCTGGTATCTGGTTGCTTGTAGGATGCAAATAATGAGCTGCAGGTGATCGATTTTTGTGACCAGCCATAAAAAGTATTGATTGAGATATGCTGATCATGTACTTTTTCAAAGGAATTAGCCAGTCATGATCAATAGCCAATCAATTGGAGCACCGATACATTGGAATGATATTAGGTTGTTTCGAGATCATGATTTGGGCTGACAGTTTGCTACTTTTTTAATGCTGTTTACAGCAGGGCTCCGTCACTATTCTCCACAAATACCAGTAGATAACTGTAGTTAAGACCGAATCAACATCATCAGCAATGGCTGAATTTGCAATAGATTCCATGAATTCTTAATCTGTGTTGTTTTTGGCAGCCATTTTGGATTTAGTCTTCAGTCTTTTGGGAAAAAGGCTTATTAGTTTTAGTCACGTTTTAGTCATTCCTATTCATGATTGTTTTAGTCGACAAATATTCAAAAAAGGTTTGTCTAGCTTTAGTCGATTTTGGTTAAAAACAGACATACAAGGTTTCCACCCAATTGCAAAGACTTTCTGATCTACTAAGTAACAGTGGAATCATTATTCATTACTCCAAAGCAAAGAACCAAAACATTTTGTTGTGGCTTTATTTCTGTGAACACACCTGCTCAAGTGCAGTGAGCATACACATGCCCAAAATATGAGTCATGGATGAGGAACACTTAAAAGTAAGAACAAACATGACACTTTAGCAAAACAAACAAAATAAAAGCAACAATTTTTTTTTTTTTAAAGCAAAGTATTTTCTGTTCTAAACCAACATTTTTCTGTCATCTGTCTGTGTGTCTTTGAACAGCCTCCTAGAAAACTATATCGCATTGCCCTGCTCTACGATGCCCACAGACCACACTTTTCCATCACAGGAGTCTCTGCTGGGGAGCAGATACAAACTGTGTCCACTGGCTCTCAAGAGTGGACTCCACGAAAAGAAACAGCAGGTATGTTGTTTGGTGTATGATGCCCAATAGTCAAGAGTATAGGTGTTCCAATCACTTCAAGGCCACAGACGTATAAAGTCCAGACCGACAAACATTTGTGAAAGAATGGGTTGCTCTCTTGAGTTGTGATCAGATGCCACCTTGTGCAATAAGCTCAGTTGTGAAATTCCCTCAATTCTAAATGTTCCACAGGCGAACGGACTATATATTATAAGAACGTGGAAGTGTTTGGGAATGACAGCAACTCAACCACAAAATAGCAGGCTACATAAACCGACGCAGCGGTGTCGTATTGAACCTTATGGATTCAATGCGACGCGATGCCACCAAAAGTTTGCATTTGCAAGCCCCGGTGAAATGGGCGAAGAAGCAAAATTTTGGCTTCACATGCTTCATCCACGCCGCCCAGCACACAACTGCATTGACTATTTATGATAATGCGCCACCAGGTCAGCTCGTATTTAGTCAGACCGCAGCCTATGGCCAGTATTTGCCTGATAACCATACCTGGGATTAGTACTCGCCTATCCCCAGTTATAGTCTTTGACTGATCTCTTACATGATGCAAGTGTACTTGCTTTTGATTTTAATCTTCATATGTTATATATAAATGCCATACAAGGCAACCTGTCACATTATGTGAAACGGTTCATCAGTAAATTCAGTTCTTTGCATTCCTTGTCATTTTGTGCTCTACGGACAGTGGCAGCAGACAATGGCATAGACCACTGTGTCTACAAGGTCACTGTGGAATTCACCACAGAGATCTTTGGCACCTTCAGACAGACCATCGTTTTTGACTTTGGCTCCGAACCAGTGCTGATGCAGCGAATCATGGTGGATGCTGCCTCTATTGAAGGTATGCCAAGTTCTCTATACACATCATGGTAAAAAGAAACTACAATCAATTGAATTTAACTTACTGCTGTTTTCTAGATATAGAACATTTGATGGCAGCCAGACAGCAGCTCTTGATGACTGCAAAACGTTGGGACTCTTCCTGTAAGACTATAGTTGGATTCACACCTAATGAAACCATGTGTGATCTGGAGCGCAGTCTTTTATCCCGCTATCAAATCCCACTGTCGGCGGACCAGCTCTTTACTCAGTCAGTTCTGGACAAGACTCTGACCAGAGAAAACTACCAGGCCCGGCTCCATGACCTTCTCTACATAGAGGAGATTGCGCAATTTAAAGAAGTGAGCAAGTGAGTCATTTGTTTTTTCCTGGTTGCAGGGGGGCAAGGGCTTTCCTAGAATTGGGGAAGTGGGTCTAAATAAATAATGGCACAATCTACAACAGTAAAGAAGGCAAGGATTTTTTTTGTCTGCCTTTCATTGAGGCTGTATTTGAAAGACATTGAAAACAAAAGTAGTTTTCATGCACTATGATCTTTCTTGTAGATATTTCACCATATGTCTTGAGTCACAGTAAATACAGGCTCAACAAGATGAAGAGTATAAGTATCGTGAAATATATGCTGGCAGTTGGGATAATTGTAAAACTACACTTCCCTTTGCAATTTCTGACATATGTACTAAAATTACTGTGAATTTTCCATTTTGATGTCTGACTGGATACCAAAACTGTATGTTTTCAAGCTACCACAAGGTGTCAGACTTGATCTTCATTGTGAACGTGATACTTGTCTTACACACAATTCGACTTCCAATAAGGTCTATTGACATGCCTGAGGTCAAATCTCAGAGGGTAGATGTCAAAATCCAGTCCTGAATGACCGCTGTCCTGCATGTTTTCCATCACTCCATATTGCAACACACCTAATTCAAATTAACAGGATACCGGGCTTCTGCAGAGCTTGCTGATCATTTGAATCAGGTGTGTTGCAACAGGCAGAGATGGAAAACATGCAGGACGGTAGCCCTCCATGACCGAAGGTTGACACCTATGTCTCAGAGGACAGTGTTATTTTTATTTTTTTTTTAAAGCCTAGAATGAGCAGACCTGCTTTATTTTCTCTGTTATCCAATCGCTTCAAGTCTGAAGACACCTGGTGCATTTCCAAAGTGCAAGTACATCTCTGATGCTTTTCAGTAGTGATTAATTTCAGCAGCAGATTACTTTTTTTAATTAACTACAAATGTTCATGACAGAGGACATTTTTTTAAACACTTAAATACGAGGCTCAAATACATTTAAGAACAGTCATTAAAATGTATGAATTCTTTCAAGCGACTTGTAGAAGATATGCCAACAGCATTTCAAGTAAAGAAATTGCTCAATAAAAAGTAGTGTTCAGCTTCCCATAAAATGTGCTTGCACATTTTCCTCTTTGGTGTAATCAAAGGTACCAAAGCTCCTGAAGTCTGTATTCTGCTCATATTTAGTTTGTACTCTGCACTTTCTCCTAAACCGACTCTCAGCTTGTATCAACTAGCGCATTCCAATGTTTGTGCATCTTCAGCAGGGAGTATTCCAATTCCAGGTGATGGTTGTTACAAAGATGCAAAGCTACCCTGTGGGCATGGGAACGTTATACAGCATTACCAAATATGTGCAGAGTACAAACTAAATATGAGCAGAATACAGACTTCATTCGACACCATCATATTTGGTATAATTGAAAAAGCCCGCCATTTTCTCTGGAGGACATAAAAGGGGTTAATGCATTTGCATACAGTGGGTGGGAAATATTCTGGTTTACAAATATCCCCCTTAGAGGACAAATTTGAACAATTGGTAGTCAGGAGGATGGAAATCTAAAATAAAAATATCATTGCATTTATAATGGTCGTTAATTACACAAACTTTGTTTCAGAAGTTGAAAAAAAATCAAGAAATCCAAACACTAAACTTGATGAGACTATATAATTTTCAAAGTTTCAACTCCTGGGAATAATTTATTCTAATTGTATTGTTTTAGCTGCGAACTTGCATTTGCAATTTCATCAGATTTAAGGATGACCAACCTCTTGGATTGTTCCAGTTCTGAGGGTCCACTGTTTTTTAAATGTCAGTTGGTATTCTAATTTGGATTTTTTTTTTTTTTTTTTTTTTTTTTTCTTTCCTTCGGTTTAAACGCATTTATACGTTTTGGCACTAAAGGATAGGGTTTTTGCAAACATATTTTTCCGTTTAGACATTCAGTGAGTGCAAATGCGAACTTCATTCGACACCATCATATTTGGTATAATTGAAAAAGCCCGCCATTTTCTCTGGAGGACATAAAAGGGGTTAATGCATTTGCATACAGTGGGTGGGAAATATTCTGGTTTACAAATATCCCCCTTAGAGGACAAATTTGAACAATTGGTAGTCAGGAGGATGGAAATCTAGAATAAAAATATCATTGCATTTATAATGGTCGTTAATTACACAAACTTTGTTTCAGAAGTTGAAAAAAAATCAAGAAATCCAAACACTAAACTTGATGAGACTATATAATTTTCAAAGTTTCAACTCCTGGGAATAATTTATTCTAATTGTATTGTTTTAGCTGCGAACTTGCATTTGCAATTTCATCAGATTTAAGGATGACCAACCTCTTGGATTGTTCCAGTTCTGAGGGTCCACTGTTTTTTAAATGTCAGTTGGTATTCTAATTTGTATTTTTTTTTTTTTTTTTTTTTTGTCTCCCAAGGTTTAACATCAAAGTAAACCTGCAGCTGGTATCCAGCTTCATGCTGACTGGCATTTCAGTTGGAGCCAAGTATGCCCAGAATGGACAACTCTTTGCACGTTTTAAACTCACGAAAACACTGTCTGAGGTATTGAGGGAATGGATTTCACATTGTAGGATTACTACTGGCATTCAGTTGCTTTCTCTCTTAGCCAGTTCAATGCATCAGTGTTTCTATCACCTCTAGGACACACTGGCAGGACGACTAGTGATGACCAAAGTGAAGTCAGTTCTCTTCCTCCCTTTGGGCTCGGAGGGCTTCAATAGCCAGCCTCCTCCGGGGGTCAAAGAGCGCGTCTACGAAGCTGTTATTGAAGAGAAGACCAAGGAATACATCTTCCTCAGGATCTGCAAAGACTGCTGTGATGAACTCGGACTACTGCCTGACAGAAAAATCCAGGTTTGTGCTTCACAGTGTATCTAAAAAGTCTACCCACTCCTCTTCAAATGCCATTGTTTTGTGTTGCATAACATGAGGTCAAGATGAGTCACTTCCAAACTTTTTCCACCGGTGTTGTGACAGACAGTTGAAAGTATAAATTGTAACGTACTTTAAAACTTCTCACTATCTGACATGAAGTTTAGGATCTCACTGGAGGCTGCACTCACTACTTTAGGCAGCTTTATGACGCGTTAACCATGCATTTGTCCCCTGTTGGTTAGCTGAACGGTGGTTGAGAAAGTGCTTGGATATGAAGCAGAGCCTGCATTTTTAATTGAAGTGTCGCCAACAATCAGGTTAATGTAATCGTGGCAGCCACAATTGTAGTCATGATTAAAATTGGATTAATTGTGCAGCCCTACCGCAGACATCACTAATGTTCGTTGTGTCCTTTTTCTTTTTGGTTACCTTTTACCTCTTTTTTTCTGCTTAGAGCCCACATTTAACAGAGTGTTTTGGTGTTATGCGGGTTAAAGCTGTTGATCATATTGTCTGTTTAGTCAAACCTTGATGTTGCTTCTGTATCAGGTGGAACTCCAATTCCAGCTGAACAGGCTACCACTGTGTGAGATGCATTACGCCCTGGATCGCATCAAAGATAGTAAAGACAATAGCATTCTTTTTCCTGATGTTAGCCTTGTCCCAACCATCCCCTGGAGCCCCAACAGGTAATTCACACCGAACACACACTTTAATGTTGCTCCATTCCTCACTTCCTCCAAGAAACCTCGTCTTTCTGTTGGAACAGTAGTTGTTATACACAACTTGTAATGGCAACACATCTTGCTCTCATCACAGAGGGCCTGTAACGCCAGTTTATGAGATGATCAATCATCCTTATGACAGGTGAATCCAAAGAGCAGAAGTGGGTGACAATACATTCCACACAAAAATGCCCTAACTTCATTTGACTTATTAAAAATAAGCGCAGGGAACTTATATAACGTAAATTGATAAATATGCCTCATTTTCAGTTATTTAGTTGTCCCCCACTCTTATCTGTGCACAGATTCTTATCATTTTGTCCATCTTTTTTTTTACAGTGATATGTGCACAAAGAACTCCACACACACACACACACACACACACACACACACACACACACCTTGCAAATTTTAGGGTCATGTGTTCGGAAAATCGGAAATTCTCTTATGTCCCACCAAAAGTAATTAGATCATCCAGTCAAGGTTGTTTCTTATGCCAAAGCCGTCTCCAGTTAATAGGCAATATTTAATATTGTTCGGCCCAAAAAGAAGTCAAAAATGCCTCTCTTTAGTGGGTTCTATTTCTATAAATCCCTTATCTAATAATTACTGGGCCCATCTGTCTTTCACTTTCAGGCAGTGGGATGAACAGCTGGACCCTCGTCTGAATGCCAAGCAGAAAGAGGCCATTCTAGCCATCACCACCCCCCTCTCTATCGCCCTGCCTCCAGTCCTCATAATTGGACCCTATGGCACTGGCAAGACTTTCACCCTGGCACAGGCTGTCAAGCACATCCTACGGCAGGAAACTAGCAGGTATGTTTTATTTTGTAAGCATTTTTGCAGTCCCAAACCACGAATTTTCCCAAGAAGCATTCGCCATCAATTTATTTACTGTAAAGTCCCCCTCCTCCCCATGAGCAATTGACCTTGATATTGGGATTACGTTGTGTTGTTGATGTCGGTGGCAACAGTTACGAGAAACGGCACAACTACATTATTTGAAGGAAGAATGATTAGGATAATCGATTCTAAAATGATTCGATCGTGACAGCCCTACATTAATGATGGAATGTGACAAACCTTAGGATAGCTACGATTGCTGCTAGATATAGTGGGAATTGGCATCCACAGCCAAATCTCATTTCTTTATTCGAACCCTTCTTGTTCCTCGCGCCGCTGTTTATCTTAAATATAGGCATCCCTTTGAAGAGATGATGAACCATAGACATACATATCGGTATCATTGTTTCCTGGATAATTAAAGATAATCACAAATCAATGGTCTCAGCCTCTTATTTATTACTATCACAATATATATCCCATTTTTTAATGTGGAATTTATATTCAAATATGTTTTGCCTGAAGACAGGTAGGATAGGCTCCAGCAAGCCATGACCCTCGTGAGGGTAATAATGGATGGGTGGATGCCACGTAACATGAGCCCATTGCATAACGTTTCTCTGTTCTCTCTGAAACATAAGTGAACTACAGTGATCCTTGCTCTATCACGGTTCGTTTAGCTAGGCTTAAGTGCATCACGTTTTTTTTTTTCTCCAAGTACTGTTTTTGGAAAAAATTGCCTAATGACTCAGAGGTTTTGTGCATGGCTGTAACTTGATTGGTTCCCACGAATGGATCTATCCCACGTGGGTTGTGGGGTGGGGGGGGTGGGGTGCTGAGAAGATGGAAAGCCATGTTGATTGGCTGTGCATCTTCTTTCTGTCTGGGTTAAGGGGTTACTCTTTGATCTTTAATCAATGTCTAAGTGTTGTTTACATGCGTGCTAGTGTATGCATGTTCGCTGCGTGTGTGTGTGTGTGTGTGTGTGTGTGTGTGTGGCTGTGTGGCTGTGGCTAAGAGAAAGAGAGAGAGGAGGCTTATAAGAAAAAAAGCAGCCGGTCTCTATCATTCTTAATCTTCAAATCATTAACACGTCAAATCATTAACAGTCTGCTGCACGCAGGGGATCGCTGGCCTGTATGTGAAACACACAGCACATTTGAAATGCCGTCCCTTTCACATTTTTTGGCTTTTTTTTTTTATAAATCCTACTTCACGGATTTCACTTATCACTGGTTCTTTTTGGAACGTAACCCCCGCGATAAACGAGGGATTACTGTACTTTGTTCAACGTTTTGTTTCTTAAGTGCCAGAAGGTTGACTCCATTTGTTCAACGTTTTGTTTCTTAAGTGCCAGAAGGTTGACTCTGTGTAACATGAAAGCGAAAAGAAAAAGATCTTCGGGACAAACTGGCAGCAAATTTAATATTTATTTTTTGTTTTACTCTGAATGGACACAATATTCAATGTTGAGTATGAATTATAGATGTTTTAAAACCAAGACAGAGGTGACCATTTTCGTTTAGTGACATACACTCACGTTACTCTTAGATCATCATGTTGTTGCTAGTACTTAATGATTGTAGTTGATGCACAGGACCCATACATTTTTGTTCAGCTTTCATGTAGGTTGACATTTTAAAAGCTGTATGGGAATTGAATACTTGTGTTTTTGGAGTGATAATTGAATTACATATAGATAATGTTGCATTTCGATGAGAAATAAAATAGATGTTGCATTGCAGAGTGACTACTCGTTAGTGTACTGGAATACTAGTATGAGAGCAACCTTAATATTGCTTGGGTAGCTTATTAGTTAATTCGGAATTTCTCCATTGCGAGACTAATCAAGGTTTTCTTTTAACAAAATGGTAAGGATTTACACTTTGGTTAATTTTTGAGCTGGTTTATGCTGCTGTTTTGCTTTGTGACATAATTCTAAAAGGCTTGGCGGCTTACTCTTTCATGCATATCTGTAAACAGTAACATCTCTGAACTTGTTAAAATCACTACCCCCCCCCCCCCCCCCGAAAGAATTGTATTGCGGTTTGGGGAGGGGGGGGTTTTTTTTTTTTTTTTTTGGGGGGGGGGGTTGTCATCAATCAGTCGATGGTTCTCCCAGGAAATAATTGGATCGCAATATTTGCAGCAAGTCCAGTGTATGATTTCTCTCTGGCTGGCTTGTCTTTTATCTCTACAGGGTTCTGATCTGTACCCACTCCAACAGTGCAGCTGACCTTTACATTAAGGACTACCTTCATCCTTATGTTGAAGCAGGCAATCCACATGCCAGACCTCTCAGGTACGTATTGAAGTCTGTATTCTGCTCATATTTGATCATGCTGTGTAACTTTCCCATGCCCGCAGTGTAGCTTGGCGTCCTTGTAACAATCATCACCTAGAATTGGAATACTCCCTGCTGAAGACGCGCAAACGTTGAAATGCGCCAAGCTGATAATCGGTTTAGGAGAAACGAAAGTTATGATATCACACTTTGTGTTTCGGTACCGCCCTTCTGATGGTATAAAAATGATGTGAATCTCTTCCTGCTTCTCACACGTGACGCGCAGCCATTGTCTGTAGTTCGCGGGTGGCCGAAATATTCCGTTATTAAAAGCTTCGAAGGAACTGTTCATCAACTCCAGCCTTTATTTGGATTACCAACATTCGCCTCGTCCGAAATTCAACGAACAAGCGGAGGAAAGAAGGCTGCTTTCCCCCACTAAAGGCATGATGGCTGAAGTCCAATTCAATATTCGTTTGGCTGTGCACATGCTATTTGTTTCTTATCCATGTACTTTGAATACTTGCATCTTAAAATAAGAGGGTTATATTTGTCCCTAAATTTTTGTAACGCTAGATTCATTTATGCCAATGCCATCAGATTTAAAATACATTTAACTCATTCACCACCATTGACGAGTAGACTTGTCAATTACACCTTTGCAACGGGCGATGGATGGGGGAATAGCTGTTGCTACTCCACTGTAAATGTCAAACTTGGAAACTTTACTGGTGCACCATCAGGAGATGACATCAATGCCCAATTTTTTGTCTTTTTATATGAGATAAGTAGAGTTTGTGACTCCACTGGGAGAATATGTAACATTTTGTGCAAACTATTTTTTTTTCCATTTTTAATTACAAAAGAATGGAAAAAGGCAGATTCACCTTTTTTTTCCCGGTGGCACAAATGCAGGCTGCAGACTCTTGCCATCTCCAATTACTGTTGCAACCAAAGGCAGGACATTATGATAATCTCTAACTGGGGGATCTCTGAGTAAAAAAGGTTGATGAGGTGGGGTTGAAATGAAGGGCAAGAAAGGTGGCTGGGAATTCTGCTCACAAGACCTCTTAACCTTAAGACTTAATTGATATTAAAATATATAAACGGAGAGCCTCAAGTAACCAAATCTTGCTTTGATACATTTATTCTTATTTTCTCTCTTTCCAGGGTATACTTTCGGAACCGCTGGGTGAAGACCGTCCACCCAGTGGTCCAGCAGTACTGTCTCATCGCCAACACACAGGTCACTTTTAAAATGCCCAGAAGGGATGACATCCTCAGGCATCGTGTGGTTGTGGTCACCCTCAGCACTTCCCAGTACCTCTGTCAACTTGACTTGGAGCCCGGTGAGACACATTTCATCTCATGTATATCAGTAAAATCCAATTACAACAAAGGGCCGTCACAAACACATACTTTGGTGGAATAAAGCTTGCCTAAAACGTACATTGGGGGGACCACCACGTTTTATGTTGTGATTGTTACTCCATACTCCAAAATTGGCAGCTGTTAATTATGAAGTTGTGAATCTGCAGGGGTTTTTTTTCTTCATTTATTTTGGGTGGGGGGGGGTAACATTTATTTTTGCCATGGTCATGCTGAATACCTGTCTCATAACACTCTTGCTTAAGTGCTATCTTGGTGCAAAGGAAGTATTTTGAAGTAGAATCACTTTGCTGCTATCTTGTGAAGTCTACAGGAAATTAGAAACATTTAAAAAAAAATACTCACATGTATTTATTTGCAACAGGGTTCGGCCCCGAATATTCATGATGAAACCCTAAACTTGTTAATTTTGATATCAGGAAAATGCTAATGTAAGAAAATGAGAACTCCTATTCCAACAATAGTCATCAATTAAACATTAAAATAATCTGCAACAGAACCTCATATGCTGCTTTACATTCACTTCCCACCTGTCTCTGTGTAAACGATTATTTACAAAAAATGACTTTTTTTTTTTGGGTTGTTGTTTTTAATGTCCTGTTTCTCTTTCCAATAGTGTCCGAAACAGTTGCAATCTATGTCTTTATGCTACACAGAGACGAATAACCATCTGCGCTCACACTCACACCTCGGAATAATTTACAGTGTTCAATCAGCCTGCCATGCATGTTTTGGGAATGTGGGAGGAAACTCATTTATGTGACGTAAAAGACAAGGTAAACGAACCACTTTGTCAGGGCAGGCAAATGACTGCCGCTTAATGTTAATGGAGGGAGCTTTGTTGCATGGGAATGCCATCTGCCACTTTTAATGTATTTTACATCATTAGCCTACTCCCCACATTCCATCTCTTGGGCTCGCCTAGTGTTTGATAGCGATGTAAAGGGTCAGGAACAGAGGCAACGATTGGTAAGACATCTAGCAAGTTGCTTTCACAAATTGTCACAGCTATGCTTGGATACCCCGGAAAGATGTTTAGGCTGTTTCATGTTACTAAACATGTTAATTTATGTCCTCTAAGTGGGAGTTTAGCATTTGGATAAAGTATCCATTGCTGATTGTCCAGATAATGAAATAAAAACTTAAATTTTGATCATTTATCCGTAGAATTAAGGCTCTTAAAACATGGACTAACAAAATTTAAGTGTGTTAGTTTTAAAATGGTTGGATTTCATCTGTCACATATACTGCACTAAAATGAAAGAGACTTGAAAGCGTGCAAAGGCTTGCATGTGTAAAGTGAAGGACTAGTCGTGTATTATTTAATATTGTAGTTATCTTTCCCAAAGTGCGATCATTGTGGCCTTTCCTTCTCATCCTGGTTCCTGATGTCCAATCCAGTCTCCATTATCCTCCCAGTGACAACAACAAAAAAAATCAGCTACAGATCTAACATCTGATTTTGAGACAGGCTCTTCAAGGAAACAACTGTTATTAAAATAAATAAAAAATAGTGGATGAAATGAAAATCATCTTTGTTGCAAGTGTTTGATAGTGATGTAAACATATATACTTTATAAAATCAGACCTAAATTTTAAACCCCGTTAGACTTATACCGTAATCATTTAAATTTGGTGAAAACCTCAGTTTAAAGAAATTCCGCAGTTTTATGAAGCTGCCACTTCAGTTCTTTTTTTGTTTTTGATTTTTTTCCTGTTGCTTTTAACTGCTGCCAAATGTGAAAGCTTAAGAAAATGTATACCACGCTGGTCATATTGGACTCGAGGCAGTCTTTATGCATGTCCAAATTTTGAATGCACAGTGTTCCCTCGCTACTTTGTGGTATGGTTAATGCGGATACAACCTATCGCGGAATTTCAAAACAGTATTCCGCGATAAGATAGAAGAACATTACATTTTTCAGAATAGATTTGTACTCTATTGTATTTCGTATCTATTTTAATAGTCACTATCAAATATGCTGTTTGTCCATTCCATTCAGGCCTGTTCACTCATATCTTGTTGGATGAAGCTGCCCAGGCCATGGAGTGTGAGACGATCATGCCTTTTGCCTTAGCGAGCAGTACCACCCGCATTGTCTTGGCTGGAGACCATATGCAGGTCAGTCCCAAAATAAAGTGTCTGCAGCAGGATATTGGTTTTGTATTTGTATTCCATCTGAGTTTTGTTTACATGCTGAGATGTTCTCGCACTGTCTGGTGTCCTTGATTAAATTAAAATCCCTTTGAGGGAGAGCGACACAGCTTGCTGCAGGTATTAGACTTGATATTTGTTTGAAATCGGAAGATAACAGCCCCTATTGAGCTATCCCAGCAGCTCAGCCACAGCTACTATGAACTAAAGTGGCAATTGAGCTACACGAGTCCACATGTTTATGTATAAATAACCTTATTTTATCATCTCCTGCTTTCTATGCACTGCATTACCACCGGCATGCATGAAAGTTTAGCAAAATTCCACAGTTATTCATTAGTTTACAATTGTCACTAATCTGATGTAATTTTTCAGTGTAACTTGTATTTCTACATACTATACAGTTGTGCTCATAGGTTTACACACCCTGGCGGAATGTGTATGATGTTATTCTTTAAGGAAGACATGAGTGATCATGCAAGAAATGTATTTTTTCTTTATTAAGATTGAAATTTGATTAAGTGACATTTCAGAATAGCATAGTAATTACACCAAAAAGGTCCCAAAAGAAAATATTACATGGGTCCGGGTTTCATCGGCATTCATGGTTTTCCCAAAACTGCCAATGATTTCAGAAACTCATGAGCGCAACTGGAGATGTGTTCCAATTTTAATATTAGCCTTCATGCGCATAGTTGTTCAACAGTTGAATTATCTGTCCATATCGTCGTCATGATTGAATAGGCCATCTCTCAAGTTCTATTAAAAAAAAACAAAAAAAAATGGATAGAATAGAAAAGTCATTTGCCAAGGTTGCCATCTTCAAAGAATGGTGTTCAAATTACTTCATGTGCCAATATGCAATGGCATAAGACAATCAGGCTTTTCAAGCCTCATCGTAAAACTATATGTCTCTCCAAGGTAACTTTGTATGGATAATTAAAGTGACTAGTCCTCTCTAATTGTCTTTCTTTTTCACTTTACAGCTCAGTCCATTTGTGTACAGCGAGTTTGCCCGCGAGCGAAACCTACATGTGTCCTTGTTGGACCGACTGTATGAGCACTACCCTTCAGAATTCCCATGCCGCATCCTTCTATGCGAGAACTACCGCTCCCATGAAGCTATCATAAAGTAGGTGTGAGCCCTTGACACACTGGCGTTGTGACGGTGGTGGAGAGATGAAAGGCTAAATGGAGGAGTTGGAGAAAAACAGACTGACTTGGGTGTTCAGAGTGCTTTGTTTCGCGATTAGGGCAATGCTCACTGAGTTGTCGTATTTCAGATGCTGTCAAAAAGCTACAGTTTGACCTGTGAAACATCAAATAAAAAAGAACACAAAGTTGCAAGTTGACATATTCAGTTCTAAGGCAAGGTCTTTTGTTTTTGGTATACCCATATGTGTGCAAATTTCAAATTATGAACTTGTGGTTGGCTGAAAACCAGGGAAACGAATAAAAAATGTATTTCAACTGACTTAAGTATATTCTTTTTGTCTTATTCCTTCCTATTGTGTTCATACTACAGCTACACGTCAGAGTTGTTTTATGATGGCAAGTTGATGGCGAGTGGAAAGCAGCCCTGTCACAAAGACTTCTATCCTCTAACCTTCTTCACTGCACGAGGAGAAGATGTCCAGGAGAAGAACAGCACTGCCTACTACAACAATGCTGAGGTATTGAAGAATATATTCGCTATACAGTCAAACCTCGGTTTTCGAACGTCTCTGTTCTCGACCAAATCGATTTTCGACCAAAAAATTCGCGTTTTTTATGCCTCAGATTACGACCGAAAATCTGTTCTCGACCAAACTGAGCGCACTTGAATGCGCCACTTGACTCCTCTCGCCTTCCTTACACGAGGAAGTGACACTTTGTTAGAATAGAAAAATACAATGTTGTCATGTTTTAAAGTTTCATCTTGTTACATGCTTGATTGACCTCGAAATGCTTGTGTTCAGAGCATCTTGCACACAATGGAAGCATAGAGAGCTCAAAGGACCCGAGCAGATGGTACCTCACTATATCTCAGAAAGATTTACCCTTCACTAGTAGACACACTGGCGCCTGTTATCTGAAACGTGGAAAGGAAGATTTAACTTTGGACGGAAGGGAGTACTTGTATGCTCCATCATGAGAAAGGGTCACGAGCCAGGTCACAGACATGTCAGTTCATGGAAACACGCTTGTTGAAATGTCTACATTTCTGTTGGTTTATGGATGATGGTGCTGGTACCAAGAGAATGCTTTGTCTGAGGGGCGACCCAAAGGGGCCGTCCAGGGGTGCGGCATGTTAATGAAGATGGGAGTGTTTTTCTGATATATTCCTTGTAATTTGCATATACAGTCAATAAAAAGGCCGGCAGAGGTTGCAGAAGTCAGGTGACAGTCGGAAGCGCACACTGAGTGGCTTCATGGAGAACTGCACCTCCTGCCGGCAGTGAAAGTCAATCTGATCCTGCATCGAGCCTTTAACTGTCCGAGTGAAAATCTCTGACACGCTTCCTCGGGTAGACGAGGAAGTGACGCTTCCTCGTGTAGCGTTTCATTGTGAGCAGATGTGTTCAATAAAGATTTTTTTTGAAAAGAGCGTGGTTTTGGTTTTCGACAAATCGGTTTTCGAACAGCCTTCTGTAACGGATTATGGTCGAAAACCGAGGTATGACTGTAATTTTTGGACTACAAAATGCACCTGATTAAAATTCACGACAGCTACATTTTGCCATAAAAACATATTTGTCCACACATTGGCCGCCTCGTATTGATAGCCGCAGGTCTCCATGTTTTTGGGCAGCCATTTTAGATTTGGTCTTTGTCTATTTTGGCAAAAATGCTTATTTAGTCACATTTTAGTCACTCCAATTCAGGATACATGTGGTCAACGAAACCTCAAAAAAAGGTTTTCGTCAGTTTCAGTTAAAAATAGACATACGAGGTTTCCACCCAATACCAAAAACTTTCTGATGTACTAAGGATTATGCATTACACACATATAAAGTGGTAACAGTGCAATCAATGTTCAATACTCCAAAATAAGCCAAGAACCAAAACATTTTTTGGGGTAGTTGTTGTGGCTTTATTTCTGTGCAATGAGCATACATACACTTGCCCAAAATATGAGCAATGAATGAGGAACACTTGTATGAAAAAAAACGTGACACTTAAAGCAAAATAAGAGCAAGAATGTTTGAACAACGTAGAATGGAGGGGACTCCAAGTGCAGTTATGGTGTAAAGTTTATTTCATCCTCAGAGCTGACAGTGTGGATGATTTTACACTCCGATTCCATCACTGCAGCTCAGAATAACATGAGAAATTCTAAATAACAAAGAGAAATAATTCACACACTTTATCCCATCATCCAACAAAATAGAGGAAAAAATACCCTACTTGTTATAATTCCTACCTCTGTCTTAATCCACTTTTAATATTTGATTATACATACAACAAGCTAATGAACTGACATTACCCATGACGTTCACTCAACCAAAATAACTTCAAACGATAAAAAAGAGGCTCCCAATGAGTACCGCAGATTTTGCACCAGTTTTCCGTAGATGCCGAATATTTCCAACTGTTGTCACAGGATCATAAAGCCGCTTGGAGATACAGTAGTCTTCAAGTCTTAACCTTCAGCATGCTTGTCCAGAATTGTCTATTTAATCTCTTGACAGAACTCTCCCCTTTGCTTTGTCTACATTTTTGTCCAGGCCTGTTTCATGAATTTTGTTTTTAAACTAATTTCGTTGAGCCACAATTTATTAGAGCAATGTCAGATTTTTATTATTATAATTGTCAAATTCTGGTTATTTCTGCGTGTTTTTTTTTTTTTTCCAACAGAGGGTTACCAATAATTTTGTCGGTGTTGTTATGGTCAAAACACTTTGACTTTTCAGAGCCTTTGCAAAAGATGCACTTTTCATCATGCCACTTAAATATTTCATGAGTTTATGATCATTTAAATACTCTTTTGATGTTGAACATTCCCCTCCAACCGCCTCAGCCTTCATTTCATTATTGTTGTGACAAAAGTTTGGGCAGATTCTTTGTTGGGGGCTAATTCTTAATTTAACTGTGTGGAGTTTTGACAAAATTAAAATGGTCTGGACCTATTTAAAAAAGGGATTTTGCAAAGTATTTATTTTATATTTTTGTTAAATGTTTTGTTTTACAGGTTTTTGAGATTGTGGAGCGTGTTGAGGAGTTACGCAAGAAGTGGCCAGTTGCTTGGGGAAAGCTGGATGAGGGCAGCATTGGAGTGGTGTCGCCATATTCCGACCAGGTCTTTCGCATTCGGGCCGAACTCCGAAAGAAGAGAATGCATGAGGTCAGCGTGGAAAGAGTGCTCAATGTCCAAGGTGAGAAAAAACCTTTACCAGGTCACTATCGTTGTGTTTGTAAGACTTTTATATGTACCGAACTGGTGTACTGATGACAGCTACTGTTAAGTGCTCAGCCCTTAATCAAATTTAGCATTGAAGTGAGTTTCAATTTTTTGAAGGCATCCTGGAAATTATCGAAGAAAGTGGTAAAAGGACTGTAAAAAGTTCAAAGCCTCTGGCACCCTGCTCTACTGGAAGCAAGCTAGAGTTCACGTTCTCTGTGAATTTTTGTCAATTAAATAACCAGTAACATATCCTGTTTTTTCAGAAATTATGACATATTTCTGCATGGATTTTTTTTTTTTTTTTAGCAGTAATATTTTCAGAATGTAATGGTAGTCTTCATGAACACTTTCAACATGTCAAAAACAGACTAACTACAAGGACGTTGAGCACTTTTTAGTGAGATGCCTAGTCATACATTTTGCTCTAAAGTGCATTTTTACTCATATTTTATTCATGGTCGTTTTCGGGCGGAATTCCTTTGCCCCCAAAATGACAACTTCTCAGGAAATAAGTCTTTTTAAAATGCCATCTTGTTTACTCCGCTTTGTTCAGGTTTGATGGGTGCCAGCCGTCCTCATTACGAGGTTCGTTCACGTGCAGCTGTCGTATCCCGTTGCATATTCACATCAATGCAACATCACCCCAAAATTATGTTCAATCGCTAATTTAGTCTTCTCAAAAAGGTCATTAACCCCCTCATTAATTGCACATAAAAGACACAGAGACGCGTACACTGAAACGGCACTCTGATTCATGCCAGAATTTGAATTTGAACAAGCACAGTTTTTTGTTTTTGTGATCTATTAGCAACCTCCAGAGCCATTTACAGTGAAAACTCATTTATTGCGGGGGTTACCTTGTAAAAAGAACCCATGATAGGCGAAAACCATGAAGCAGTCAGGTTAATTTTTTTATACAATTATTATACAATACTATACTGCAGAATGAAAAAAATAAAATATAAGCTTTTTATTCAAATAATTATGATCGTTTTTAGAAATACTGTAAAATAATAATTTTAATAGTCAATACGATGTTGGACACATTGTGACTCACGTGTATTTCCCAGTTCCTCTGACTTTGCCTCTTGGTCCTGACTCCGCTTTGCTGTAGCGTCTTTTTCTACTGAAGGCTGCGATGCAGTTGTCATAGTTATTGGTAATTGTTGGGATATATAATTTTTGTAATTACAGATTTCAGTAGGGTTGAATGATGTTTGTATATCGTTTTGAAAAAAAATGAATGACATTTGAATATTCTATTTAAATGTAAATGGTATTCATTTTTAGTGACAATCAATTGTAATTATTTCTCAAGAAGTTAGGAGTTTTTTTGTGTGTGTGTTTTGTTTTAACACTGGCAGAGCCATGGGTGCCATGGGTGGAATGTCAGTTTTGAATGAGCACTCTCAGGCACTCAACCAAGATGTATTTCTAGGTAAACAGTTCCGGGTGCTGTTCCTAAGCACAGTGCGGACGAGGCATACCTGCAAGCGAAAACAAACGGCCATCAAAAGGAAAGAGCAGCTTGTGGAGGACTCCACTGAGGATCTGGACTATGGATTTTTGTCAAACTACAAGCTGCTCAACACAGCCATCACCAGAGCTCAGTCGTTGGTTGCGGTTGTGGGAGACCCAATAGCACTGTGCTCTGTTGGACGGTGCAGGTACGATAGTCTGTCTTTCATACCACTGGAGGATTTGTGAAAGTGGAGTGAATCTATTTTCTTATAATGTCATTTTAAAAATTCCAACCGATTTTGAGCTGATTTTTAGCTTGTATAGTTCCGACCAATCCATACAGTATCCGTATATTTTGAGAGTCGAAACTCTGATCTGTCTTGCATTTCCACTGCCGAGTGTAGAGGTGCCATAGCAACAACTGTCAGCTACTTAAATGGTGTGACATAAAACCTAACATGGCGTAACCCACCATCAAACAATTAAATGACCCTAGTGAGGAAATCCTGCATTGTATTTTCTGTGTTTACATGTGGCTGTTCGTTACAAGAAGATAAAATACTGTTGGTTTGACCAACTAACAGATTGCAGTGTATATTGATTCACCCTTAGGGCACCATACTGCTAAGTGCCTCAACTGCAGAATGCCAAAATATGGTATGGTGTCTATCAGAGCATTTGACAAGGGACACACAAAAAACAAAACTAAAGAACCAAAGAAATTACTGCACTAAACCGAATCCCAAGGAATGCAGACACAGGCAGTCGTGATACTCTAAATAGGAGTTTCTGAAGAAGATGTTTACTTAAATGCTGTCTCTCCTCTCTGTTCATTTTTAGAAAATTCTGGGAGCATTTTGTTTCCATTTGCCACGAAAACTCAAGCCTCCATGGCATCACTTTTGAGCAAATAAAATCCCAACTTGAGGCCCTGGAGCTAAAGAAGACCTATGTTCTCAACCCTTTGGCTCCAGAGTTTATCCCGCGTGCCCTCAGGCCCCTGCAAGGGCACCCGCCTTCACAGGCGCTACATACCCACCATCATCCTCATCCTCAGCATGTGCAGGCAACATCCACAAAGCAGGCACAGCAGCAACAGCAGCAATCGCCACCTAAGGTAAAGTGTTTTTTTTTTTTCATGTAGTTTGGAGTAAAGCCAATAAAACCAACATACAATAACACTTGCATGACTAGCATAATCATCCAACTGACTTTCATATCCAATTATCTTGCTATCGCCTTTAATTCAATGTGTACACAGACAAGATCGGGACGTACAAAAAATACCTCAAAGATTATGCATTTGTTTTGCAGCGCACTGTGGCAATGTTTTTAGGGTTGATGCCCTCTTTTAAGCAAACCCGTATGGATGGATGGTGGAAATAAATTGTGCCGAAACTGCTTTCTTGTTTCATGTAACATGTACCCAAACCCCGACAAGAAATGACTTTTCTGGTCATTAATTTTAGAAACTGGGGTGTTTTTTTTTTTTTTTTTTTTTAATGTGCCTACATACGTCCCCGCTGTCTGCCTCGAGGTAAAGGTTAACAAAATCACCACTGCTGCCAACCTGCTGCCATCACCTACTGGGCCTAATGAGCTGCGGCATCAGCTGGCTTTAGCTTAAGCTATGAAACATCTGATCCTGTGAGGTCTCCAGTAAATGTTATTTCAGCATATGCATCATGTTGCTTGTTTAAAAGGTCGTCCCATTATTTTAGTATTCATGGGTGACATATTGTTGCTTTCTAATCTGTTTGGTATGGAGTTTCATTGCTGCAAGGCAGGTTTATTCGCACACAATATTTAGACATGTGGTCGGTCCATAGTCACGTAGTTATATAACCGAGTCCAAATTAGATTTGAAATGAGTACTGCATGACTGAATAATATTCGGATTAATTTAGTTGCTCTGCTATTACACACTTTGATTGACGCCTCCCCATTGATAATGAAATGGTCATGCAATAGCAAGTGTGACGTGTTATAGCAGGACCACTCTAAAAGTCCATGGTTTTCCTTTGGAGCGGCAACACATGGCCACTTATTTGACTTGTATGTGATTTTCGAATGATTCTTTCTTGCAGGGCAAACATGCCAACCACACAGAGCACCTTCCCCCTGAAGGATATGGTGAGTGTTTTGAGTGTTCTGCGCATTTTCCTAAGTATTTGGCGGAAGTGTGACCACCCCCCACCCCTTTAAAAAAAAAAAAAAAGTACCGGTACATGGTAGTGGTTGCCAAGTCAATGACATCATTGTCATCATGGCTTGTTGTGATTGCTTGAGGTAAAATTATGACATCTCACCATCATTGTCATATATCTTCAGGTCGCATTAAAAAGTAATCGGTGTCAATCACCTCATAACAGGAAAAGATTCTGAGACAACCCACCTAACCAGTTACCAACCGTGGTGCCGCAGGATCCCGGTGACCTGTAAATGTCAACTACAGGGTTCTCACATTTTGCGTGAAATTTTTGAAAATGTAATTTATAGCAAGGCATATATGTATGTGCGTGTCGTTTTTTTTTACTTTTTTTTTTTCAGGAAACAGTACAGATAAATGTATAGACCATTGCGAAAACATGACAAAATGAGGACAAGACACTGAAGTTGTTTTTTTTTTATATAGTGGCAGTTTTTTCTCTACTCAGTCTTCTAGTCCTCCTTTTAACCAACACTGTCCATGTCTCCATGAATTCCTTGTGCCATGCACAAATTGAAGGATGTGACAGACTTAATCATTTTTGGGCGGTTATTTAAAAGCCTATTTCATCAACGGGGTGCCAAAAATAAACAAATGCAGTGTAATCGAAAACTTCAACAACCACTGAGTACACAAACAAATCGAATGAATTGCTTTTACTGAACAACCACCCCTTTAAAGGGAAACATTGTGAAGTGGGCTCAGTAACACACATGCAGTTAAATCTTTTAAAATGATTTAATCCCAGGGTAAACAGTATTTTCCATTCCTCTCTCATTGCAGTCCAGCCCAACCCAGCCGTTCTAATGGGAAACCCAATCCAGGCATTTACACCGCCTGTGGGTGCCGCCCCAGCTGGCTTGGGCAAGTCACCAAGTCCTGTTCAAAGGATAGACCCTCACACAGGCGCTAGCATCCTTTACGTTCCAGCAGTATATGGCGGAAACATGGTCATGCCCATGCCACTTCCGGTGAGTGTTCTGCCTCGATAACATGAGTCCATATTGACATATATGTGCAAGCCAATTTTGGATAAAGAGCTGAAAAGCTTGTCTTGGATCATCATGTTTAGATCAGAAAGGAATGATGTTATTGTTTGTGTTTTTTCTTCTTAAGTTGCCATGGCCAAGTTATCAGAATCGCTTTGCTGTTGACCCGCGCATCATGAGCCACCAGGCAGCCATGGCCTACAACTTCAACCTTTTGCAGGCTCAGAATCGAGGGTCCCCTATTCCCTGCAGTGGAGTGGTACATCCATCTCCCCTAGGAGTGGGCCAACCAAGCCCCGACACAGATCTACAGTCAGATGCCATCAGAAATGGCATGCTTTGATTTTCCTTTTACAACAAAATTTCACAGAGATAAGATATTATGCTAATAACACCATCGTTGTTGACTACTTTTTAGGAAAACTTGAAGGATGTCCGAAGTCGGAGCAGACACCCGAGAGAAAAAACACAGAAATTAAGGATAAACAGGTACACTGTACATAACATATTCCAAACAAATCGTGTCATATCTTAGGTCATTTCGATTATAGTACCAAACGATTCTCAATTCTGATTCTATTAGGCGACAGGGTTAAACAAGTTTTAATGATTTGAATTCGGGGACTACAGCCATAGACTAAGATTTGACATGACCTCTGTAATTTGTCTGCACAAGGTGGCAAAGTCAGTTTTTTTTTTTTGTTTTGTTTTGTTTCACCCCTCAGCCCCACCATCTCTCACCTTGTTTTCAACCAAACACACACACACACACACACACACACACACACGCACACATACACGCACACACGCACACACACACACACACACACACACACACACACACCGCAGAATCCTGAAATACCATTGACTTTTTACTTTTATTGTTATCTAGATGTTTTTATATTAACTATTCGGTATAGTCAGTAAAAAAAAAAAATCGAAAGATTATAGCTTTGCATATCTTTACCTACACTGATGGATTGGTTAATTGTGGTTAAAAAAATGAGATGTCCAAGTGGCACTTGGAAGAAAGTGTTTGGACACCCTTGGTTTGGTTGAAAAAGCTAATCACTTATTTTTGAATTAAATTGACTGAACTTGTCTCCAAATTTTAATTCAATAAACATTTTATTTTTTTCACTTTACTATGAATATCTCGCATGGATATTTTTAACCAGAATTAGTATCAAACCTATGAGTTTATGTGATTAGTTTTCTTTGCCTAGAGAGCTTTATTTTGAATACCTACCTTGTACAATAGCTTTCAATTACAATGTATTAAGTTAAACATTTTTTTTATGATCTGTTTAACACAACGCCCCAACCGCATTGTAATTGTGTCTGTAATTTTGTGAGGGTTTCCCCCCCCCCCCTCACCCCAAGTTCAAAAGAGAGAAAAATAAAAATTTAACAATACATAACTTTGCTGCTGTGAATTGGGAATTTCTCCATTGTGAAACTAATAAAGGTTTTCTTATCGTATCTTCTTTGGATAGTGACTGACTGTATGACAGCACCATCATATTCAATGTTTTGACACACAAACATATGTAATTCAAATGCTAATTAACTTGTCTTCCTCCATGTTTTTCAATGCATAATTTTTTTTCCAGGGTGATTTTGACACCGGGCGAAGTCTGGAATCACAGACCGATGGGTTAGCCGGTTTTCCAAATGCACTGCTTCACCGGAAAGACCCCTCGGCTGCTCAGAGAGCACTCAATTATCATCTGGCACCACCTAATCCCGCCTTCCCCACGCATCCCGTCGGTGGAAGAGCCCTCCCTCAACAATGTCCAGTCTCAAGGCTGCCTTATCGGGTAAACCAGCCTCAACACCCAGCAATGGTCCAACAGAGTCAGGTCAGCCCTGCTTTCCCTAGTGGAGGTCCCAGTGCATCCTTCTTTAGTGGCAGCATTGCCCCACATAGGGCTGCCCAGTCTCCCACTTTAGATGTGCCAGAATCTGGAAGTGTAGAAGAGATGGGGAGCTCCATTAGGACTCCTGTGCCCCACCTGGGAGGTCACCACCCTAATTTATCACAGCACAACAATAGAGTCAGCAGCTTTGGGGAGGAAGGACAAGATGCGGTGCACGCAGATGGTCTTGGTGAGTTGTCTTGAATGTATGCGAATGTGCGAAGTCACAAAGGCAGTCATTTAAGAGCAATGTCATGGCTTTTTAGATCTTCGGCGCCCCTTGGCTCTGGAGGTCCTGAACCAGCAGCAGCAGGCTGCCAGGCTCAGCCAGTGGAATGAAGCAGCAGGCCCTTTCCTCCCAGGGGGTGTCACCTTCCCTTTGCCCCAGCAAATCCCCCACCTTGCTCAGCCAGGCATGGCTCGTTTCTCACATCAGTTGCACCGTGCGGCTAACTGGGGCCTTGGTGCCAACATGGAGGATGAAGCTGGTTCGGCCGCTTCCACTGGTCCACCTTTCAACAGGTTAGACCGCTCCTATCAAACATAAAGTACTGTCTTTTAAAATAATGTAATGATTTTGTCGTTTAATTTCTACATTAATTTGTCAAATGTTCTTGGTGTTGATCGCGTCAAGATTTGGTGTATCATCGCATTTTCACTCGTCAGGTACACAGGCCTTCTGAGAGAGATCCCCCAACAGGAGCCACCTGAAACCAGGGAAGCAAGTGAAATTCAACCACCTCCTCAATCTCGCCTTCTCCAATATCGCCAGTCCCGTCCCTCAGCTGACCCTTCATCTTCTTTAGCTGCCACTTCAAATCATGCCGGTCAATTTCCATCTGGGCCTTTCCCCCACGAAAGCGGACGTGATCAGCTGAACAACAATGTTCTCAACACGGCAGCTCTGCAGCAGCATCCTGTTGGAAATCCCCTTTACAATAGCAGTTGCTACGCACAGCAGGCACCAGCCCACCCGACCAGTCCCCCCGCATCGCAGGTCAAATACCTTTTACAGGAGGCACAGTGGTCCCACGGTGGAGGTGCATCTGTCAGCCCGCCCCAGCAGAGCCACTTGTTGGGTAACCAGGCCCATGGTCTTCCATACGGAGTGCCCGTCATGGCCCCACCCAGCAGGCAGGAGCAAGTCCATTTGATGCAGCTTCACCATCAGCAGCAGCAGCAACAACATCATCATCATCACCATCACCATCATCAACAACAGCAGCAGCAGCAATCTCAGCAAAGTCAAAGTCAAGACCAGGAGTCCTACCACTCATTGTCACCCAGAACATCTGCAACCACTGCCCTGCACAGTGTAGATGAGGTAGATATCAAACATGTATTTGGATTGCTCTATGCTGTCTTCATCAATCAGAATTGAAAATCTCTATGGTGTATTGGATGCAAAGAGCTTGACCTTTGTGTACTGATATGACCCCAAAAAAGGTCAGATTACACCCATTCAAATGTGGTAACAACCTGAGCTGTTAAGTTTTCTCTTTTTTTCCCCACCCCCAAAAGAATGTGAGTTGCAGGCCTGCTTACTGCTTCTTTCTGTCCTGACCAAAGTGACGGATAATGCGATTTCCTGTCTTTGAGTAGATTTCACCATGAAAAATGGTCTATTGTGGACTGTCGCACCAAGGCCATCATTGCGCGAAGTTTGGTTGTACATGATGATCCAAGTGTAACCGCAACTACCTTGTCATTTTGTACATTAAGACATCATACTTTGTCAAACTAAATCCAAATACCATAATTTTCGGACTATAAGCCGCGACTTTTGTCACACGCTTTCAACTCTGCGGCTTATTTCATGAAGCGGCTTATATAAAGACTTTTCTAACGGCCGCCTGTGTACCGTCTTTCTTTGTAAATATCTCATGTTACAATATGGGCACCTGCGGCTTATACACAGGTGCGGTTTATGTGTGTACAAAATATTTTTTTCCTTTAAAAATGTAGTGGTGCGGCTTATAATCAGGTGCGGTCTATAGTCCAGAAATTACGGTACTTTTAGAGTAATACATTTTCAAAAACCAGTTATGGCCAGATGGTTGTACCACATTGTATGAACGGAAAAATGTCCAAACAAAAAAAAAAAAAACCCTAATTTTTGAAATGTCCGTATATGGGAGAGATCAAACATACTGTAAAATAAGTGTCACTTCACTTGCCCTTATTCTTGGAATTCAGAATTAAGTGTGGAATTGTTTTCTGCCGTCTGAAATTTGTATACAAATAAAAAAAATTGGCCATAGCACTTTTATTTTTTTCCCAAATACCCTTCGCTTTGCAGGCTATTATATCATCTCTTGCACCTCCTCTCTGTTATGGTTGATGTTACCAAATGCCTGTGTGTTTTTTGGATGAAGCTAAAACACTCTCATTGGAATGAAGGTATAATTGTGCGAGCATTGCTTTAGATGTCTTTCTAACCTTACTCATTTTTTCTCATGTATCCAGTATGAACCCAGAGGTCCTGGTCGGCCCCTGTATCAGCGCCGTATTTCCTCCAGCTACCCCGATCAACCTTCTCTTGCCAATAGCCACAATGCCATGTCCCAGCAGTCCCAGTCCTGTGCAGCTGACAGGACTCAGGACCACCCCCATCCACACATGCAGCAGCAGCAGCAGCACCCACACCCCCCCTACGGCTACCCTTCACATGAGCTCTGGCCCAGCAACGGTGGTGGTCCAGGTCCGTTCCAGAACATTCCATGTAATGGAGGTGGGACCCTCGGTCATCATCGGGAACTTCTCGGTAGGCAAAGTTAAAATTATTTCAGAAGACGTGTTGTCATGTCTGAGTACACTAGTAGAACCTCCATTGTGCATCGTTGGCCACAATCACTTTCTTTTGATTGCAATGGTTGTCCCAATTATGCTTAACATGTTTGGCAGAGTCGACAAATGTGTTTTTACATCATGAGTAAAATGTATATTGCTACTTTTTTAAGAGATTAGAAAATGTATTTCGTTACTCTGTTGAAAGCAAATAATAAAGTGAAACAGGGATTTGTGACACGTTGACAAGCCACAAAGCTTCTGGGAGGATGTCCTATGCACAGTTTTTAACCTGGATCGAAAAGCATTCACACACAGTTCACTTCTGTTGGCAGCATATACCATTTGGGTGCCGCATATATAATAGTGTTCTTTCTTTGTGTGTGTTTTGACAGCTTCCAAGGCCCTCCGTCAGATGGAGGAGCAGGTGAAGGCGGAGCCTCCGGCAGCACAACAGACACATCCCCACGCACTCACCTCCCTTCAGCACCCCGGACAGTTTCCACCCCTCATGTCCAACAAGCAGCAGCAGCAGCAGCCACAACAGGCTCCCGCAGAGCCTGTTCAGGCAGCTCCAAATCTAAACAAAGCACCCACGATGTCCTATGCCAGTGCCCTCCGCGCTCCGCCCAAACCACGAGCCATTCGCCCCGAGCAGGCCAAAAAGAACAGCGACCCACTCTCGCTCCTGCAGGAGCTCAGTATAGGAAGTTCAGATGGTAGCAATGGCTACTATTCCTACTTCAAATGAGTGTCACCTTCTACCCTATATATACATGCTAAAATAAAAAACAAACTAAAGAAAAAAAAAGAAAAATCTCGTCTCTGAAAATACAAAAAAAAGTAGTGATGAGTTCATTTACAAATTGTTTCTATCAGTAGGTTTTCTGCATTCTGTTCCATTTTAAACCTTTTTATTTGTAACAGTTTCTCCTGTTTCACATATCTGTGACGAAAACAAGTATATATAATGAATGCATTACCGGTATGTATACATAGTCATTATGTATATATGAACATATATACTTATATTATCTACAGTTGTATATGTACTGTACGTAATGCTAAGAAAAAAAAAGCTAACAGTTTTAAAGAGATTTTGGTTGGCCACTTAGCTTCCCTGCATTTTTACTTCCATATTGAAGTTGGTTTTGATGGTTACTAAACACACGTGTTTGCATTTCCGTCAAGTTTGTTGCTTTCACTTGATTTTTTTTTTCTTTTTTGTACTACTCTAGTTGTGGCAACGGTCAAAAGCTAAGTGGTCAGCTGACACAATCGAGAAGTGTATAGACGTAGGCAAGTTTCCTCTAATCTGTACATTGAAGACAATAAATGACTGAATTGTATGCCACAGACATGTCCTTAAATTATTGTCAACGCTTGTTATGCTTTCAGACATGTCGGACATTCTGGAAAGCCAGCCAAAACTAATATATTCCACGTTTGGCTTGTTGAAACATTGTCATATATTGATGGTTTCCCTTCCATTATTTGAGCTCATTTTGGATCTTAAATGGGGGAATGGGTGGTGTCGTCATATGGGCTTATTCTCTCTCAAAAAAAAAAAGAAAAGTAATGAAATACTGTACATGTTTTTAATCTTTTAAAAAAGTAACAATATACATTTTACTTTTCAGTCAGCAGAATACAGTGCAGATTTATTTAATTTTTTTGTACTTTATCCCGTGGTAGCAATACCCTCTCACTGCTCCCATTGTGGCCACTTTTAATCCATTTTATTCGCGCTAAAAACACGAGTTGTGGCAATTTTATTTGGGCTGAACAAAACCTCCAGTGAAATCTAAGAACGTCATAGAAAGGATATGATACGTGCTGTTTGCAGAAGGACAAGAAGGTCTCGTGCTATAGAATGTTGCAGTACTGTGATGGTTGATGAATGTGAATATGGGGGGAGGGGACCTTGAAGTTAAACTGGTGTGGCATTCTGCATAATTGGAAACACTGCCAGTCAACATTTTTTGTTTTTTTTACAAATATAAACACACTGACATTTGTGATGAAGATGCATTGGATATGGCTGAGATCTGACTAGCACACACTGTCCCTGATATGTTTTCACAATAAGACAATCTACTAACAATGTGAAGATGACATCGTTCACTAACTTCATAAATGATTTTCATTTGCTCCTAATTGGTTTATAAGTACAATGGGTCAATCAATGACTATTAGTTTTGTTTTGTTTTATTTGTTTGTTATAATATGAAATAAGAAAGAAAAAAAAAAGCTGTAAAGCTGTAAGCAGCTGTATTTTGTGTTCACTGCCCTGTCTGTTCAAACTAGTGACATCATCCCATTGTGCCATGATTTATCCTTCAGCAGTTAAACTTCTTAAAATGTGAAAAGGGACCTCCTTGTCGACTTGTGCTGGTACTTACAATGCATTGCCGAAATCCACATTCTTGTCACTTAGGGTATGATCGCGCTGGATAAACGCATACCTGTAAATATGCATTTCCTAGGTATTCACAAACCCTAAATTTGGAGATTTTTGTAGATGATATTCAAACAAAGAGTCATGTCCTTTTTAATTATGCAGTTTGACAACAAAAAAAAAAAAAAACCGAGGCAAAATCCAGTCGGTCGTCTAAAATGTCTTCAATCTTCGATTTTTGTTACACACCTTCCTCGCCACTGTACAATACTTACATTTACGTTGCTGTACTACAACTGTTGTGCCACAATGCAGCTAGACTACAATCATGATTTTTTTCTCTTTTTATTGCATGGTCTTTTTTTTTTTTAACTTTCTATCCCTGTTTTTATTTGTATCAATTGTGTGTGGAAAAACAAATTTTTGATCAACCATTTCCACAAGTCAAAATTTCCTTGTGTATTTGATGTGTACAATGTGACATAAGCCAGCTGTTCTATTTTACTAACATGTCATTCAACAATGTATCGGTCATTTATGTTTGTGTTTCAAAGCAGGGCTCAAGCTGAGGTTGCTCCCTGGTGTGTTTGAAGCTCGTTGGCTGAACTTGTGCAATACTAATATGTCACTGCGTCTCCAGCAACCATTTTTTTATATATATCTTGGCAGAAGGCATTGAGCCAAAGACTATTGAAGGATTTTTTTTTTCTTCAGATAATGGATGGATGGATGCGTTTGCCCTCCCCTCACTTTTTAAATTACACACTATCAGTTGCTTGGATTCAAATGTTTTTCCCTCCAGTTTTGTATTCTTATTTTTTTTCCCTGAAACATATTTGCTTGCCATGTTTTTGAAGAATCCAAAAGTCGAGCAATTTATGAGCGGCACATGAGGGGAGCAACTTTGGCCCAGCCAGTAGAGATAGATCATGGTGTCCACCTCTTTCTGTCATCCCTTTGCTCTCATCTGTTCCTCCCTGCAGAGAATCCGCACCGGCACGTCCACCCCCCCCCCCCAACCCCCTACCCCCCCAAATCCCAATGGATAAACCCATGTGGGTGCAAAAGTACTGCATAGATCTGTTTTACTCTTTTCCATTTCAACTGATGGTGGTTATAATAAAGGATTTAGACTGTGTTTTAAAGGTTATTTACTTTGTTTCTCAATTAAAGTGTTTTTATTGAAATTTGCTGGGATTTTTTTCCTTCATAATCATCCTCAACAAATGACACATTTGTGCTCGCCTCTGAACATAACGTGTGAAAAGTCATTTTGATTGAGTTATTTATTATATAATCTACATTTTAGCCATCACACCAAAATTAATGGAACAAAAATGTGTGCTTTTAATTATACAGTATTAGAATTTGCCCAGTTGTCTTTAAGTGACGCGTCAAGCACTAAACACAGGCGTATAAAATCTTGTATCTAATAATTCTAGGTTTATGCAAAAGTGACTCATAAATGTGTACCTAACTGTCAGAGATTTTCTCGGACAAAGTTAAAGAAATGACTTGGCACTCAGGAAAATTGTCTTCAATATCGGCGGGAGCGGATCTCTGAGAGTGAACGACGGTAGTTGCTCCGATGATCACACACTCCAGCTCCCTTCCCGCCAATTACGACTTTTATTGTAACATACAAAGAAAACACTGCCCCCGACATTTGCATACCGCACCCCCGGTCCGGCCCCTCGGTAGTGATTAGTTACCTGAGTTTAAGCTTTGAACCACCAGTACACTGGCGCCTTTCCGTCTGGTCTACACTGTATCAACATGTTGCAGACTTCGCGGACGACAAATGTCGCCTGGGCGCGATGGGTGTTCTCAACTCGTCTTATGTTGTTCAACCGCTGTTCCCAAATTATTCATTCCCCTTTTGTGACCGAGTTTCGCCCTCTCCCCTGTGATTGCCCACCTGCATTGACGTGCTAATTGTGGAAAGGTGGCCGGCGCCTTTGTGCACAGGCATTTGGGGGTGCTGGATACGCACCCAAACGTTTAGATGTGCCCAAATTAAATGAAACTTTAAACATGATACAATTTTGCTCATAGATTCCTCTAACATTAACTAAAGTTAGATTTTCAATCACTGCCAGGTGACGTTTGCACGCAGAGCCATGACCTCATTTCATCATCAACACAAAGGTAGTTTTCCCAAGCATTTATTTTGCATTAAAAAGGTACACAAACAAAATATGCAGCATTTCAAAGGTCAACCTTATGAATAACACCTAGGAAAAGCCACTAAAATGCATGTGTATGTATCTATTAAAAAAAAAAAAAAATCTGATGGTGCTCTCATACATGGAGGAAAAGAAGTAGTTCATGACTCTCAGGTTAATTAGCCTTCTGTTTGTGTGTCAAAACATTGAATCTGATGGTGTTGTCATACAGTCAGTCACTATCCCAAAATGCATGTATCGCCAAAATTGAATTTGTCAGTTTTGCACACCGAAAGAAAAAAAAAATCACAAAATTACAAACCCATTTACAAAGAAGGTGGGACGCCGTGTTAAACAGAAAACAAAGATGAAACCATATTCAACTTATATTTAATTGAATAAACTGCAAAGACAAGATATTTGATTATCTTTGTTTTTAGTTGTGCAATGACTTGTGAAATACCCCAAAAATAAATGAGAAGAGGAACATCAAATATGTACAATATATCATACATAAGGCAAGAGGCTTCATGCACTGCATAATTCTTAACAAATCACACCATGGTCGCATTATGAAACTCTTTGATGACAAGTCATGGGAGGGGGCGGTTAAATTGAATGTGGCCTCATTAAGTCGGCAAAAACTTGACTGAGGTACGCTTGCACACCCTAATAAAAACTCAAGAGTATCAAAAATTGTGAGAACAGGAAATACATTTCATTGTGCGGGCTTATCTAACATTTTGGCCGTTTTATGTAAAATTGCAATAAACCGGATAGCCCAGTCTGTCTTCCTGCATGTCAACGAGGGGCTTCTGTGTGCTCCATCAATGGGGTTCAGGAGATGACATGCTCAATTTACATTTCTCGTACCAATTTTAGAAATGATACAAAAGACCTACATTCTAATTGTTTAATGGTTGAGAGGTAAACTTCCCATCACGGCTACGGTCCTTGCAACTGTTGTTCTCCTCACTGCGAATAATGGGTCGGCTTGTCACTCCACTTGCTCGGGCTCGGCATCCATGCAGGTCTCCCAAGGGTTCCTGGGCATTTGTGGCATGGAGAGGATGAGGAGGGCAATGCCAGTGAGAAAGAGCAGGACGAAGCCGGCGCAAGCGCAACCGAAGGACCAGCTGTAGTAGTACTGGATCCAGATGGTGTCCTCACTTTCGATCATGCGTTTGACCGACTGCCGCATCACCTCCAGTGAAATGAACGAACACAGACCTGCAAAGAAAAAAAAAAACGTAATCATAAATGGCGGCGGCGCAGATGATGTGTTGTAATCGGGGGAACCTACCTGAAAAGGCAAAAAACATTCCGGAAGGTTTGAGGAGGTAGAATCTTCCTTTTCCTTTACCCGTGCATGAGCCGATCAAACACAGCGACCCTAAGATCATGAAGGCCACACCGAAGATGGAGATGGCCGCAGCGGAGATGTTGTACTCTGTCACAAGAAATCAGTCATTTCTTTTTTTTTCCATTCATTGATAAAAAAAACGGAACAACCGGGGATTCTTACTCAAGGGCTTCCACTGCAATTTAAATGTCGATTTTTTTTTTTCATGCAAGCATGGCACACGCACACACAACTCACCTAAGCGCTGATACTTGGGTTGGGGCACCAATATTACAGAGTACAAATGCAGATCTCCAGATAATACTGTGTCTGTGTTGCTTAAATCAGGAGATCGAGGGTAATAACATTGATAAGAGTTCTAATCATCCATCCATCCATCCATCCATTTTCCGATCCGCTTATCCTCACAAGGGTTCGCGGGGGGTGCTGGAGCCTATCCCAACCGTCATCGGGCAGTAGGCGGGGGACACACTGTTTGCCAGCCAATCGCAGGAGTTGTAAACATTACTAAGCAATGACTTTAGCGCTTCCTTCATTCGGATTGCAAGTCTTCCTCTTGATGTTTTATTCTTTTCCCTCAGTGAATTCTTTCTCACAGTACATTTAACTGTAGGGCCGTTTGCGGTGACGTGACCGTGTCGCGATCATGCACCGCGACGGTATACCAACACAGCACTCACACAAGAATGAATAACACAACAATGAGGCAATCATTCGAGAAAAACTTGCAGCGTCCGTGTCCCCCGCGGCGCTGATAGATGCTTTTTGAGTGACGGAGGATGGGGGTGGAGGTCGCATATGTTAAGAATGTCTGCATCTTTACTTTCGTGTGTGGAGGCGTGCGCAACTTAATGCACGCATTTGCCCCATCCGTTGCATCTGCTGCAGCGGGGACAGCTGGGAATGCAAACGCGGCAAGGCAGTGCAAGCGCACGATGACAGATTGAAAGCAGCAGCCTCTGGAGAATTCGTGTCGGGGTGACGTGGGCGGGGGTGGCATTAAAAAGCGAGCATTGTGGGAGGTTGTGTCAAACACAGTCAGGGACTCACCTTTCTGCGTTTTGTGTTCGAAAATCTCAGTATCCTGTCCAGGTGTAAAGTGGCCGAAGTACGTGCAGTTTTCATCTGAGGGGATCAGACAACAACCGTTAGTTTAGTCACATATTCGCTCATTTACGATGTGTGTAATAATATAGCGATTTGAAGAAGACATTGACATATTAATATCTGCCGTAAATGAACAGCTTTTATTTGGATGAATGGAATTGGGAGAAGAGAGAGGAGGTGACGTAACCATCCAAAGCAGTAAAACTGAAATATGGTTTATTGCCAAAGTCCATCCATCCGTTTTCAGTACAATGTATCTCATTGGCGTTGCGGCCAAGCGCGGGCATGTTAATTTTGACAAATAAATGTTAAGATTTTTCTTCTGCTTACATTCTTTATAGTGAGTCACAGTCTCCCATCACCTGTGAGCTGTTTTTTTGTTTTGTTTTGTTTTGTTTTTTTTAGGACCGTGCACTTTAACAGAGCAAAAAGTGGCAATTAACTTCAAAGATGCTTGTGGTTTACTCAACTCTGCAAGCAACCAATCATATTGTGCCCTGCTTAGAAATTCTCTCAAAAAAGAAGAGAAGAACTTAGTACCGGTGACAGCCAGTATATTGAAACCTTGCCTTTTCAAAACCACGCTAAATTGGCCCATGTCAGTTGACTTGGGTCGAGAATCAGGATACGCCCTGGAATGGTTACCAGCCAATTGCAGGGTGCTATCAAAGGTTTAGTTTTTTTTTTTCTTTTTTGTGATAAAGGGTTTAAGATGTCTTTGCACTAGTGACAAGTAAGAAAGTGAGATGCATGACATTGGCAACGTGAATTTCACTGTTTTGTTCCATTACAAACTTGTATGACACATAAAACAAAAAGTCAAAGTCTTACTTTGCTGAAAATGACTGTTTGGAACTGGAACACATTACAGTACTTTTATGACCTTTATTTATTTGCTATGAGAAATTACTCAAGTCGCAACAAATGAGAGGTGAACAGCGTCCTTGAACTGATTGCGTTCGACTTCGGAGGCTGAGCTGTAATTTCTTGTTGAGTGGAAAAATGTAACAAATTATTCAAAGAGCTTTGGCATATTAACACCTCCGTGTATATGTTGCGAGGTGACAGCTGGCATTTCGTTTTAGAACTTCATACTTAGAGCTCATGCGCGATACTTTGCATTAAGCAAGCAATAAGAAGAGCTGTTGACTGAACTGTCAATGTAAGTTATGTTCCGTGATATTTATTGCTCAGCCTCAAAATCTTCTCCAAAAAGTTTTGCCTCATGTACTGTAACTTGGTATACATTAAGCTCCACCTGTTGTCACTGTACAGTGTGAATATGTAAGTCTATAAGTAACTTCCCACTGTCTCACGTCTCTCCGACATGCTTCTACCACAAGACCACATCTGACACCTTGAAGGTCAAGACACATGATATAGAAAAAAAAGAGAGAACTCTTAAGTCATATTAATCAATTTGATGAATCAATTGTATTTTTCAATAAGAGATTGCGGTGACCATTGCATCTTTCATTTCTCATCTCCCAAAGACATTTTGGACAATTGAATGCTTTCAACTTTGTGGCAACACTTAGGGAAGTTTCTATTC